TTTTTTTTCTTGAAAATTATTCATTTTTGTGAAAAAAATTTTCTTTTTTTATGAAAACAATTTTATTTTTTGCGTTTTTGAATTGTAAAGATTGAAATTGAAAGGAACATTAATCAATATTATTAAAAGAAGAAAAAAATAATACCGACAATCGAGTGAATGCGTTTTGTGATGTGAATGAAAGTTAGATATGAATTATACTGACATTTTTAATAAATCACCTTCGGTTTATTTCAAGACGAAACGATTCAGCAAGTTTAATGTACTTTGAAAATTTATTATTTATAAGTGAGCGCGTTTTCTCTTATCAGTTCAAGTCTCGTGACAGTAATGTTGAAAATATATAAATGAACGCACGTTTTCAGCCAAGGTTTATTTTGTGTTAATGAAAGATGACTTAATTAACTTTTGTTTTTTACTTTGCTTATTAGAAAAATTACATTTCATTCGCGGTCATTAATTTCGCGAATCTTTTTTTGTTCATTTGCATTTTATTTTGTTTGTTTGTTTATATTTTATTTCGTATTAAAAATGATTAATTAATTATTAATTTTTACATTTTTAATAAATTTTTTTATGATTTTTAATTTTTCTTTATTATTATTGAATAATTTATTTAAATCTGTTTATTATTATTAAATAAGTATTAAATAAAATAAAAATTATTTAACAAATAAATTGAAAATAATAGTAATAATAATTAATAATAATAATAATTTTTATTATATTATATTGAAAATAGAATTTAAAAAAAGAACAATAATAATAAAAATATGGATAAAAAGAAATAAACAAAATTGGAAAAATGAACTGAACAAATGTACGGAATTATTTTACTCACAAAAAAAAATTGTTTCAACTTGACAAGAGAGAGAGCAAAAAATGAAGAATGCCAAGTTGAGAATAATTTAACGAACGTAATATTTTTGTTTTTATTGTTTTATTATATAACTCTAACAATCGTTTTGAAATATTTCATAGAAATTCTCAAAAAAAGAAGAAAAATAATAACTAAGAACTAAAAAATTCGTAATTATATTTTAGAAAAATTTTTTCCTTGCCTTTTTTTTGTTTTCTTTTTTAATCTAAAGAACAGAAAATAATAAACAAAATTTACAAAAGGACAGTTTTTAATACAATTCAAAATTTATAAGAGCACTGCGAGAATGTGAGTCACGAATTTTATGAATCATGTAAAATTTTTCATGCACTCTTGTGAAACGAATTTATAAAAAGACATAATAAAATCGAGAAAACAAAATTTTGACTATAAATGGAAAAATTGTTTGTGAAGTTTTTTCTTTTTGTGCAACTGATTAAAAATTAATTCATCTTTATACAAATTTTGAATTTCAGTTTTATATACAATAATTCTTTTTCTATTATTTTTATTCAAATAATTTTTTTTTCATTTTTTTATTCAAATTTTTTTATTATTCTTATTATTATTATTATTATTATTTACATAAGTTTGTTTATTTATTTCAAAATTTATATTATAAATTACTGTCATTATTTTTATTATTGTCATTTCTGTGATTACACTAAATTTTTATTAATTAAAATTTACTTTATTAAATTGATTTGAAATTGGAAAAATAATAATGATTTTCATTATTATTGAGAAATTATTTAAAAGAAAAAATAACGAAAGAGAAAGTATTAAATTTTTATTAATTGAAATTCAATTTTCTGAATTTAGTCGAAAATTGAGAAAATTTGCTACAAAATAAAAGAAATTTGGAAAAAAATAACGGAAAAAGAAACATCAAATTTTTTTTAAAAAATACAAGAAAAAAATATAATTAAATTTTAATTAACTGAATTTAGTCGAAAATTCAAAAAAAAAAAAATGAAGGGAAAGTAAGAATTAAAAATTTCAGTAATAAAAATTTGATTTACTAATTATTTTAGTCAAAAATTGAAAAAAAATTTGAAAAGTAAAAATGAAAATTTTCATTAATAAAAATTCGATCTACTGATTGTGAAAATTGAAAAAGAAATTTGAAGAACTATGAAAAAGGAAAAAAAGTAAGAGAAAAAATCGAATAAAGTTACATTGGAGATAAATAAAAATCCTTCATATTTAACAAGCTTCTGCATTAATCATGACGCTGAGCTCGTAAAAATAGTCTAATAGTAAGCAGATGTGCACATGGTGACTGATTAACACTCCTTTCTGATTGTTTACAATATTTGCAAGAAGCAAAAAAAAAGTCGACTTTTATTTTCAATAATATTTTAACCAAAAAATAATTTTGATAATATTTAGGAATTAAATTTGAAAATTTGTTTCTCCCTTTTTTTTGCAAATTTGAAAAAATATCACCATCGCGTATTTAGAGATTTTTGTTTTTTACTCAAATGCGAGAGATAAGAGTAAATGCAATGTTACATGCACGAGTATCAATGGAGAACTAATTCATGATTCCTCCAATGTTGCACTGCCTCTATTAATAAGGACAAGTGCGTGTGAGTATATCGACAAACGTGGGTAAATAAATATAGACTCTTTTAAACAAAGGAAAATTCTCTCAATTTACGAGACTCACTATTCTCAACACTCCAAATTGAGAATCATTTTTCCCCTCATATTTCGAAAACAGGAAGTTTGGGAAATTAGTAAATTTTGAAAGATTAATAGGTAAATTTGATTTCAATATTTTGGCAAAATTTATCAATTCGATTTGAGAAAAATAAGGAGAAAATTTAATTTGGTTTATTATTATTTGTATTTTTGTCAGTTTTTACTTTTTCCTATTTTCTCCTTTTTCAATTATTTTTTTCGATTTTTAAATTTTGTCAATTTTATTTAAAAAATAAAGAGATAATTTAATTTCATTTATTATCTTTTGTTGTTTGGTAGTTTTTGTATTTTTGTCAGTTTCTATTTTTTTTCTTGTTTTCTTCTTTTTACATGTTTTTCTTAGATTTTTAATTGTGGCGAAGAATTAATTTTTTTATAGACAAAAAAAACAGAAAGATTTTTTAAAAAAAGCCTGTTTTTTTGTAAAGAATGAATTTAATTTTTATGATTTTATTTTCACAAAAAAAAACCCCTAAAAAACATGAAAAAAGAAGAAATCAAGACAAAAAATGAAATAAAAATGCCAAAAATACAAAAATTACCAAAACAAAAAAAAATAATAAACCAAATTAAATTTTCTCTTTATTTTTCAAATCAAATTACTAAATTTTGACAAAATTTTGAAATAACAAAAAAAATACTGAGAAAACAAGAAAAAATAAAATAAAAACTGACAAAACTACCAAAAAATAATAAATAATAAACTAAATTTTGGTTTGTTTGTTTGTTGAAAAGTAAAAAAAAATTCAATTTCCAAAAATAGGGGAAACATTTTTTGTCTTATTTTTTATCTATTTATATTTATTTTATACTTTGTAATTTCTTTATTTTTATTAGTGTTTATTTTTTTCTTGTTTTCTTCTTTATTTGATTTTCTTGTTTCTTTTTCGTTTTTTTAAATTTTTGGTTTCTTTTTGGTTTTTTTCTTGCGAAGAGTGAATTTATTTATTTTTTTTTTTTGCTGGCCAGTCCTCAAAGTTAGTTGAGTGAATAAAATACTTTGTTTGTTAAAAAATAAAAAAGAATTCTGGTACTTCACACGAAAATAATAATCTCCACTCTTTAATAATAATAATCTCGAATCTGTTGATTGCCTCGCTTCTCATCCGATACATTTTTCACGATAGATAATCCCACTCACAATATTTACACTGATTATGCCGTTTACTTAGGTGTTACGAAGTCTAGATAAACCAGATTTTTACAAACTTCTATTTATGCATTAGGAAATTTAAATAGAAAAATAGTAAATAAATTTAGCATTTCAAAATTATATTTGCCAATTATCTATACCAAAAACAGTCATTTTTTCAAATTTCGAGTAATAAATTCGTCTCAATTCATAAAAATTGTAATTTAATTTTTAAATAAAAATTACATCGAGAAAAAATTATATAATATTCAATTTTTCAATTCGAAAAAACAAACAAAAGGTTTTTGTTTTATCTTAATTGTCTGTTATAAAAACCGGTTTGAAAAAAAGAACTGGAAATTTTATAACTTTTTGATTTTGTATTCGTATAGAAAAAAAAAATTTTCAAATCATTTATCTCTCGAGATGAGCGAATGCAAATTTGAATTCTCATCTCGTATGCTTCTTCACTATCGTTAAGTAACGAATCATATCCGGGTAAAATATTTTTTTCAATTTTTCATCTTAGTAATTATCATTATTTGGAATTAATAATTAATAATTGCTTTTGATTAATTCGTTTGTCAATATTCTTTGAGAAAATTTTAATTTCAATTTAATTCAATTTTACACCCTTTTTAGTAAATTAAATTTTAATTAATCCGCTAAAAAGGGTGTGAAATTGCATCACATTGAATGAAAAAGAATTTTACTGTAATATTTTTTGAATTGGTGTAAACAATTTTTTGTTATTTATTTATTCGTTATAAAATTAAATTAATTCAATAGGACCTCGAGAAACATAGTTATAGTAAATAAATAAATTAATGATAAATGTAGAATATTTCTTTATTTTTTCGTTATAAACCGAAATAATTAATAAATTATTTATTCGTTATAAGACGAAATAAATTATAAATACACAATAACTAATATTTATTTATTTATTCGTTATAGAATAAAATTAGAGAAAACTACGTGTAGAATTGTGAAAAGCAACTCGAAATTTGAAAGAAGACTAATATTTAAACAATTAATAAGCAAAAAGTTTTTTAAACCATTTAAATTAAGAAGCTCACAATAAGAGAGTTTGTTAAAACAAACATTATTTCTACCCTTTAAGTATAAAAAATCATAAAATTCCCGTGCAAAGAAAATTTCTAAATTACAATCTCAAGCTAAGAATGTAGAAAAAATTTCTATAAAATTGAAATTTATGAAATTTATGCATATTGAAAAATTTCTAATTTTCAATAGAATTTGAAATTTTTATCAACTCACCCGAGTGGATCCTAGAAAAATAGAAGTGTTGGGATCTACAAGGGCTGGGACTGTATTACCGTCTCCTACGTAGAATATCGGTCGATTTGCGCTCCGAAGACCCTAGAATTTTATTTCAAAATAATTTTCCAAAAAAATTTCAAGTTTCTAAAATTTAATTAAAAAATATAATTAAGTACCTGATAGCCATGTTCCAGTTCAGTGTAAGACATGTCAGAAAGAGTTTCATTGATGAAAGAACTGTTCCACACTTTCAGGAGTAAAAAATATTCCCTTTCTCTCTTTCTCTTCTCAAGAAACTAAAATCTTTCCTAAAAAAAAAAAATTAAAATTACTTTCAAGGTAATATTTTTAGTCAGGACATTAATTGTCTAAAATCAATTTTTTACTATCAACTTTCCTTTCTCAATTGTTGAATAATTTTCAAAATTCTGTCACATCTTTCTAGATAGTTGTACACAAAAAGAAAATTCCTCTTTACAAAGACATCGAAATTCCTAATATATTTCGTAAAAATTAAATTTGATATTGCTTTTTGAGTTCCGAATAAATTTCAAAAGTAAAAAAATGTTGCTATTTTTTTATATTATGTCGAATTTTAGTTCCTTTAAACAATAAGATTTACTATTCAAAAATTTGAAAAAGTGGGAAATGCGCACAAATAAAATATGTGTCCATTCATAATAATGAAAATCGATTCAGGGGTGAAATCGTTTTTCAAACCACACACACAGACACAAAATTCTACGTCGCAGATTATCGACCCAGTTATATTTAAAATGCGGAATTTTATTGAGAGAGAATAGAAGTGTCACTGTAGTTAGATGAGTATAGTATTATTGAGGACATCAATTAAACCGAATAAATGAGTCTATTTTTCAAAAAAAGCAGTCGACAATCAAAAGCAATAATCTCAACAGTGGAATAAATGAAAATATTTAACAACTAAATTTTACTACTTTACAATGTCAGAAGCAAATGACAACTTACCTTTATTATCAGAAATACGTTGATAATTGTATTCTCTCCAATTCACAAGTCAAAATAATAATCTTTTTTTCAATTGAGCCAAAATATATCTTGATAAACAGCTTTTGAATTTGTCAATATCACTTTAGCACCGACATTTTGTTGAATATGAAACAAACACGGAACGACGGTCCGTATTCCGAAACGTGGTTTTCCACTTTTTGGCGCGAAAAAATTAAATTGATTTGACTAATTATTTAATTAATATAAATTATTTTTCTATCATTTATTTATTTTACTATATATATGCATGAGTTTTTTTTTATTTGTTTATTTTTTATTTTCTTATTGTAAATTATTATTATTATACATTTTGATACACTTTTCAAAATGGCACTTGACACTTTATGTTATCTTTTTATATAATAGTTTGCATTATTTATCAAACTTATTTGATAAAAAACTAAACAATATCTTTTTAAATGATTTACAATCATATTCCAGTAATAAAACTAAATTAATCATTGCTTTAATTAATTAATTTAGGTAAAAAAAAGTTAGTTCCGGGTTTGTCCGCAAGATATATAGGTAGATGTCGCCCCAAAAAATGTCGTTTTTTGGTAGTTTTTGAGTTTTCCATGTAATTCACCTTCGTCGAAACTAGCACTCTCATTGGCTGGATTCAAATTTGCGCGGGGACTAGAGCCAATCATAGCGACTCCTGTGGAAACGCACCTTTAGGCTTTATATTACTCTCATTGGCCTGCTGAATCCCCGCGCAAATTTGAATCTGACCAATGAGAGTGCTAGTTTCGACAAAGGTGAATTTGCATGGAAAAGTCAAAAACTACCAAAAACTGCCATTTTTTGGGGCGACATCTACCTATAACTTGCGGGCAAACCCGGAACTAACGTTTTTTTACCTAATTTAATTAATTAAAGTAATTATTAATTAGTTTTATTACTGGAATATGATTGCAAATCATTTAGAAAGATATTATTGAATTTTTTATCAAATAATATTGTTAATATAATGAAGAATATTATAAAGTGTGTAAAGTGCGCAAATTTGTAAACAACCTAACCTCTAAAAATGACAGATCACGTGATTCTTTATTTAAGAAAACAACGTTTTTTATTTTCGAAACTTATTATTCTTTGCGAAAATGAGTATTATTTCTAAACAAAAGTGTTCAGATGGAATTAACGTATAAATTGGTTCATAACGAAGAAGAAAATCTTATTCATTAAAAAAGAGACAATTTTAAAAATATGTAAGTAAAAAAAATTACTATCCCATTTGTTGTTATATTTATTACAATTTCGTTATTAATTATTAAATTAATTAAAATGCCAAATTATTAATGATTTATATTATATTTAAATGATAATTGAAAATTATAAAAATAATTAAATTCTTCTTAGAATTTTATAACATTTTTAGAAAATAATTAAATTCATCTTAGAATTTTATTACCATTTTCTAAAATAATTTAATTCATTCAAGGAATTTTATTATAATATAGAAAATAATTGAATTCTTTCAAAAACTTTCTTTAATTTATTGAATGTAATCGATTTTGTTAATAATTGTATTAATAATTTTACTTTTAAAATTTTATTAAAATTATTGATAAAAAATTTAACTCTTTTAGACAATTTTATTAGATTTTATTTTATATGTCTTCAATTTTATTATGTTTTTGTACATAATTAAATTCTTTTGAAGAATTTTTTAAAGTTTTTTTGAAAATAATGTATTTTTTTGAATAATTTTAATTGAAAATAATAAAAATAATTGAATTAAACAAAGAATTACTTTCAACTTTCTAAAATAATCGTGTCTGTTGATAGGTAATTGTAATTAAATATTTGATTATTAAAGTTTATTAAAATTGTATTGAAAATAATTGAATTTCTGAAAAGAATTTTATTATTATTTATAATTATAATTAATTCTTGCTATGAATTTTACTATTTATAAAAAAATTGAATTTATTTCGAAGGATTTATTGAAATTTCAGAAAATGATTGAATTTTTTTTTTGAAAAATATAATTAAAAATTTATTTAAAATTGAATTCTTTTATGAAATTTTATTAAAATTGTGTATTAAAAATAATTTAATTTTTGCAAAGATTTTATAACGAATTAAAAAAAAATTAAATTTTTTCGTGAAATTTTATTGAAAATAATAAAAATTTTAGCAAAGATTTTACTATTTAAAAAAATAATTGAATTCTTGAAGTTTATTAAAATTGTATTGAAGATAATTGAATTTCTGAAAAGAATTTTATTATTTATAATTTAATTCTTGCTATGAATTTTACTATTTATAAAAATAATTGAATTTTTTCTAAAAATATTATTAAAAATAATTTTTAAAAAATTGAATTTATGAAATTTTATTAAAAATAATTTTTTTGATTTTTTGAAAATTTCATGCAACCGGGTTTATTTTCTTAAATTTATCAATTTTTAATTTATTATGCGTTTATTTTGTATTTTCTTTTTTACAAAATATTTGAAAATTGTTATTTTCTAAAAATTTTTATTCCTTTTCACTTTTTTTTTCGTAAAAAAGAAATTAAATTTCGAAAAATGTCTTCTAGTATTTAAAAAGAATACAAAATTACGATTACAGTTCATATAAACAGTAGTGTATAGCTAAATTTACATATTATTATTATCGTAAAAAAACAGTTTACGAATTATTGTAAAATTTGTGAGAATATTTCTAAATACTTAAAAAACTTTGTGCTTACATTTCCTAAGCATAATTATAATAATTAATAGATCGATACTTGAAAAAGAAATCTTTCGATAATAAATAAATTTGTTAATTAATCAAATGACAAAAATAAATCTATATAATTATCATAAAAATGGAAAATTGAAAAAAATCTATCTACATAATTTTTCTATAATATTAAATAATTTTCTAATTGGATGGCTCTATATCTTAATTGTATGTAAAAAAAAACAAATGCATTGTAGTTGAGCTACAATAAAAAAATAATAATCTCACGGATATTTTAAATTTTTATATGTAAGTGTGTGATTGAATGCTGGGATTTTAATCGTAATCTTTCTCGAAACGATCATCATGACCCCAGACTTTACTTGAGCTATTTTGTTTTGATGACCAAACTTGTTCGTCGGTTAATTTATCCTTTTTTCCACGCGGCGATTTTTTCATATTTCTCGGATCCGTTGCACCCGATCCACGAATTGCTCGCGGTACATTTCCACTATTCACTGGTCGTTCGTTATTAATAACACGTCTTAAATCTTGTTTAACGATATTATCCGTCTTTGACGGCGCTTTCATTAAAATTCCAATAGAATCAGTCGATTTTGTTTCATTTTTCACTGGAACAGTGTCTTGATCACCGTCTGGAAATTGGAAATGGAAAAATTATTACCGGTTCTGATTTGAATTCAGAATTTACATACTTTTTTCTCTTACCTTCGATTTGATTTTTTATTTTTGTATTCACAGTGAGAAGATCTGTGTATCGTTGAATACTTTTGAATGTTGATATTCCAAGTTGTCCGACGTAGAAATTTTGTAACTCACCCGAGAGAGGATTATATCTTTGATTAGCGAGATCAATTAAAAATAAAAGCATTCCACGTGATCGTGGACTTAAATTACGATTAATAATCACAATCTTCACCGATTCTACGAAACTCTCTAATTGCTTTTGATTTTCCTCGTAAATCTTTCGGCCGTTTATTGAAATCTAAAAATTTGATGAATGTTTGTCATTTCAGGGGAAATTTTTAAATGTTAAAATTAATAATTTTTTTATATTTATATTTCTTTATTTATTATTATTTTGTAAATTGAAAAATGTTCTATTTTCAAGAATAAACATTAATTTTTGAATGATTACAGATTTTAAATTTAAAGAATTCACTTATTAAGTACATAGTATTAAATATTCTTGATTATTATTATTCGAAAATTCTAATAAAATTTGTCCCAAGAATTTCATTATTCTCATAAATAATAAAATTCTTTAGAGCAATTCAATTATTTTCAATACAACTTTAATAAAATTTCTCGAAAGAATTCAATTATTTTTATAAATTGTAAACTTCATGACAAGAATTCAATTATTTTTGTAAATAATAAAATTCTTCTGAGAAATTCAATTATTTTCAATACAATTTTAATAAAATTTTTAGGAAAAAATTCAATTATATTCAAAATAATTTTAATAAAATTTCTCTAACAGGTTCAATTATTTTTAAAAGTTGTAATAAAATTTTTCTAAACATTTCAATTATTGTTCTCAAAAGTTTTTAATAAAATTCTTTATAAATTTCAATTATTTTCCAAATTATCAATTAAAATTATTTTAAAAAATTACATTATTTTTACGAATTTTAATGAAATTCATAAAAAAATGTAATTATTTACAAAAAGTCTAATGAACTTGTTTAAAAGAATTTCATTTTCTATGAATAATTTTAATATAATCCAATATGAAAATTATTAATTACAATTATTAATAATTATTAATTATTAATTATTTTTAATAACAAACACGATTATTTTGAAAAACTTAAACAAAATTCTTCATAAAATTCAATTACTTTCAAAATTTTCATTAAAACTTATTGAAAAAAACTCCACTATTTTCAAGAATATTGAAATAAATTCTTAAAAACAATTCAATTATTTTAAACAATTTTAATAAAAATCTTTTCAAGAATTAAATTAATTTTAATACAATTTTAATTACATTTTCTCGAAAGAATTCAATTATTGTCAAAAATGTTGATACAATTCTTGAAATTAATTCAATTATTTTCAAATTCTTGAATAGAATTTTATTAAAACTATTTTAAATAATTGAATCCCTACGAAAAAATTTATTATTTCTATAAATAATTGAATTTTTGCAAAATTTTAAAAAATAAGTGAATTTTTGAGAAGAATTTTATTAAAATTGTTTTTGAAATAATTGAAATCCTGTGAAAAATTTACAATTTATTAATATTATTGAATTCTTTCGAAGAATTTAAAAAACATGTTTAAAAATAATTTAATTTTCCCTAAAATTCAATTAATATTTTATTTAAAATAATTGAATTCCGTAGCGAAAATTTAATTATTTATGAAAATAATTTAATTCTTGAATTGAATGTTATTAAAAGTTTTTTGAATAATTGAACTTCTGTGAAAAATTCAATTATTTTTAAAAATAATTGAATTTTTCACAGAATTTTTACATGATTTTTAAAAATAATTGAAATTTTCGAAGAAATCTTCAAACCGGAATACAACGATTATTAATATTGATTTCTAAAAAAAATAGTTTGAGATTTTGAATATAAAATTAAGTTTTGTTTATATTTAAATAAAATTACCTGCGTTGTGACGAGTTCAATATCAATTTCCTCACAAATATCGAGTAAAATTCTCATATAATGAAGCAATGGCTCTTCGAGAATTCTCAATGGTAGTGATGCGATTCTAAGTCGATTGTAAACCTCTCCCAGTAGTGATGTTGCATTTCGAAATTGAAATAAACTCTTCTTTTTTATTTCCTCATGATCTGAAGTATAAAAATATTACGAGAGTTGAGATAATAAAATGGAAAAAAGAGAGGCTCTGAATTATTTTTGAAATCTACACTCACTCATATATGTATTTTGTAGTGCTCTCATTAAAGCAATTTGCAATTTACCACCGTCACTGGTCTCTAAGGAATAAATTGTTTTGTCACTAAAAACGATAGCGAACTTAATTCCAAATTCTCGATCGTCCATAGCACGTTCGTAAAGTTCATCGAACACTTCCCTGAAGCAAAGAAAATTAATTAAATAACAATAAACAATAAAATTTAGTGACAAAAAATTAATTAAAATTAAATAAATAAATATAAATAAACAATAAACTTTAGTTTCAGTTAAATTTCATTAAATTTAATTTAGTGACAAAAAAGTTAAATAAAAATAAACAATAAAATTTAGTTCGAGTTAAATTTAATAAAATTTAATTTAGTGACAAAAAAATTAAATAAAATTAAATAAATAAAAATAAACTATAAAATTTAGTTTAGTTTAATCAAAAGAAAAGTCTGTTACTTCAATTTGTTACTCTTCGCAGCGTCGAGTAGAATTTTTTCCATTTCATGAACTTCGATGTCCGTTGGATATTCACTAATTTGTAATTGATCAATTAATTTCAAAATCTCATTGGATTCGTCATTTTTTAATGGTTTCGGTGAGAAAGTTTCAGTACTTTGTCCCGGTCGTTTGAGCATTTGATCATTTCGAAACCCTCTACCTCGACCTGCCATTTCGTTATTATACTGAAAGAAAAATAAAAAAAACAGTCACTTTTTTTCCTCATTTATAATCATTTCTATTATTAGGAATTACATTCAAAAAATTAATTTTTTAAAACAAGTTGTTGTGAATTGTATTTTTATCGATTTCAACCGGTAAAATAAAGCATACTTTTAACGGTATTTAATTTTCTCTGTTACAATAAATTAAAATACCGTTTTTTTAATATATTTGACATTTAACTATTAAACTTGTTCGAAAAAAGATTATTGTCCTCTTCGAAAACTAAATCTATTTTATGTTTTCAATGAAAGGAAATCGGTTTAAAATGAGCTTGAAAGCGCAGAAAATTGGCAGAAAGTAATCCAAAGTTTGCAAACTGTTTACATAACCTAAAAATCGAGAAAATAAATATATTCACAAGGTTCACAAGGTTCAACCGTTAATTAACTGTTACGTGCACTAATTTTATATTTACAACTATGAAAAATTGATTTACACAAGAAACTTATTTACATTTTTAATAGACTTTTTATTAGATAAAATTTACTTTTTTTTGGAGTAAATTTCAATCTGCAAAATTCACTTCCTTCACTTCACGATTTGAGCGCCTTTGAATTATTTTCGAACTAAAATTCAATATGGCGACTGGCGGGAAAAATTTGAAAACGATATTTATTTTTACAAATAAAATAATAATAAATAAATTATTTAAATATAAATTTGCTTTTCATCGAAGGGAAAGAAACATTTTACTCTCAGTTTTTATAAAAAATCGACTTTTTAGAAATTGACAATTATTTGGGAAATTAAAAATATTATTATTAAAAATAATAAATAATAAAAATATTACTATTAAATACAAATTAAAAATAATTATACTTTAGAAGGAAACAAATTTGAGGTTCTAAAAAATGTTAATTAAAAATTAAATTTCCCGCGGTGTGAGAGTCTTTTAACTTTGTAAATATTTTCCTAAATCTATAGTTTACTTAGAAAATTTCTGTTTGTCGTTTTAAAATAAATAATTATACATGCAAATTATCTTGGATAATAACCATAAAATTTTTATTTTTACTGTAAATTTTATTTGTTTTTCTTTTTTTTCGACTTTATTTCCACGCATGCGCGATGGGTACTTTCAGGAGCGTACCAATAGCCGGTATAAAATTATTTTTTTTTGCATTCGATATACGGATTTATTAGTGCTTTAAAAGTTAACAATTATTAATAAACAATATTAATTTACAAAGGGAAAATAATTTTATAACGAACTTATTTTCATAATTAAAATGTCATTCTTTGTGACAGTTTTTTAATTAGTTAAAATTTTTAATTTTTAATAGTTTTTTTGATTTTCTTTTCTAGCGATATTTGAATTAGTGGAAAATAAATTTTTTTTTATCTTTTCTGTTTATTTTTTTAATAACTTTTTTAGTTTAATTAGTTTAAAAATTGTTTTTTTGAAGACTACGCTCCTGGAGTTTGTATCTTCTGGTGCAGAGTGCAGACTAATCACCCATTGGTGCACATTCCCATTGGTAATTTGTAAGCCCGACGAGTTATTTCATTTACAGCCAAGCTGGCATATTGTTTTTATAATTCACAGTGAAATAATATATTTTTATTATTAGTGCATCAATTACGTTCGTTGACATTTCATTGTTAATATTCAAGAAAAAGTGTAATTTCAAAAATGTCAGTTGAAGAAAAATTTAACGCTGCTGTAAATGTCATTAAGAGTCTACCGAAAAATGGTAAGTACTAAAGTATTTTTATTACTTTTATTACCAGTTTACTAATTTCTAATTACTAATTACTAATTGCTAATTATTATGTATTATTCATATTATTTCTTCTATCTTCTTCTACTCTTCTTCTATCTCTAAGTTTAAAATATAGTCATGGTTCTCAGTGTTTAGAAGAATGAGTCTAATTCGTGTAATGTTTGTTAAATTGCTTGTTAAAGTTGGTTTAATACCTAATTTCCTCTTTTACTATTCTTCTAATTGATCCCTTTCCCCTTATTTTTATTTTCCTTCCAAGGTAAACGTAGTTTGTTTTCGTGTGAGAAAAATTTCTAATGCACTTAAGGCACTGTGGGATTTTTTTTATTTACTTTTATTTAGGTTACACGTTTGTTATTCACTTTGTACTTTCACTGTATACACATACAGATGCAACAAAATTCAATGTCACGTTTTTTAGTACAATTTTTGCCAATTTTCAAGTCTTTTGATTAACTAATTGTTTTTATCCACAGTTTATTTATTTTTTTATACTTATTACTTATTAGCAGTAGAATTATTCGTCACGTTCTTGATTATCATGCAATTTTTTTGATTCTTACTTTTTTCCCTTTTTTGTGTATAAATTAATTTTAATAAATTAATGATTAATTTTTCAATATTAAAAAATTCTTTCCCTTATTTAATAAGCTATTTATTTGTAAATTTTATTTTTGCAGTAAAATAATTTTTTCGTGTTTTTTTTTATTTCGATAAAATACTTTTTTGTTTAAGGTGACATAGTTTTCTCATTTGAGTTTTTTATCGTACTTTATTCTTCAATAATTTCGAGTTAATGACTTCTAAATTGCAGTCCACTTTTTATTTACAATTCTAAGTTAGAAACTTCGCATGTGTTCCACGATCTTAGAGTTACAGTGTGATCTTAAAGTAATTAAGTGAAAGTCGAATGCAGTCGATTGAAAACAAAGTAGATTTTATATATTTTAACACTTCATAAATTTTATAGGAAAAAAGTTCTTTTTGCAATATTGAGAAATTAATTTAAATTTATTGTCGATTTAACAGGAAATGGACATTTTTTATTTTGACGAATATTTAGTTAATAATTACAATAAATATTAAAATAAACAAATATTAAAATAAATAAATATTTAAATCAATAAATAAATATTAAAATAAATAAAATAAAAAATAAATAATATTAAAATCAATAAATAATTACAATAAATAAATAAATAATGTCAATAAATAATAAATTAAAAATAGTTCAAAAATAAATCCTAATTGAAAGAAAATAATTTAAAAAAACAAATATTGAAATTTTTTGTAGATTTTCGAAAAATCTTTCTCTCAAATTGTTCAATTAGAAAGAAATTACAATGCATTTTGTTTGTCTGTTATTTTAATGATAATTGTGTAGAAATTTCTCTATATTCACAATCTTATCTGAACATAACTTTATCGAAACGATATTAAAATACAAGTAAACATATTTTTTTAATTTTATTTATTAAATTTTTTTTTAAATTTTAATATTGTTATTTAATTATTAAATTTATTTTTTAATACAATTATTTCTTATTGAATATTTATTATAAATTTAGAAAGAAAATTAGAATTACAATCTAGTAAATTTATTTTCAAAATTGAAAATTTCTTGATTTTTATCTGACAAATGTTTCTAGTGATTGATATTCAGAGAAAAATTTATCTTTATTTACTTATTTTACTCTTTAATATTTTATTTTATTATTTACTTTACTAATAATTGTAATCTAATTTAATTTTTCAGAATTTTCCAATAAATTTAATTTAATTTCAGAAATTGCTAATAAATTAAATTTATTAAATAAATAAATATTAATTAATATTATTATTAATAAATATAGTAAATGAACTTAATTTAATTTCATAATTTTTTAATAAATATATAATTGTAATTTAATTACAATTATTTTAATTGTATTTAATTTAATTAATTAGATTTTGATTTATAATAATAAATAAAAAATTTTCATTCAATCTAAGGGTTTCACGCGTTAATAAATAAAAAAATAAATAATAAATAAAGAAAAATAAAATGAATACAGAAATAAATTTGATTTGTTAATTTTACTCAAAAGGAATTTTTAATCTATTTTTCATAAATATCTGAATTATATCTGCGAGTTAATAATAATTATCATTAATTATATGTCACATTAAACTCAATCTCTAATTAGATATGATTTTTGTAAAATTCAAAAAAGAAATCTCGAGAGTAAAAAAGTACAATTGTTGTTAAAAAGAATTATATTGAACGGATGCATTATGTATATTGATTCTCTGACTAAAGGTCGAATGATAAACTCATATATAGCAAATACTAAATAAAATAATTCATTCCGTATTTATAATCTGTCACTTGGAAGTGATTTCACAAGTCATTCCTTGTCTATGCAAAATAGTGTGTATTAAAAGAATTCCTTCGCGAATAGTATAAAGAAAAAAAATTTTTTTTTCTCACATGGATGGAAAAAAAATTTTTAATATCAATAAAAACAAGTAGATTTTATTTATATGAAAAATAAAATGCAGAAAATGGCATTTTATATACTCACACATAGACACATGTGTATGACGTTATTTCATTCCTCGATTGTTAATTATTGCTTTTATATCGCTATTATAGTTTATTTAATAATATATGATAATTAGATGCGGTGAAATAAATTTAAATAACGAAAAAAAAATTGGGAGAAAAAAAAATAAACATGATTGTCGCTTTTCAATGAACTGCTTTTGTAAGGATTAATTATTATATTTTACTTTTTTCTATTTTTTTAACCACGTAAATAATAATAATTCTAATAATAAAAAAATAATAATAACCACGACGCAAATTATAAATAATAATAATTATTATTATTCAAGTAATTTTACGTCCGTTGCTAAATATTTTGTCAAATTAATTTTACGAGGCCTCGTAAAATTAATTTGACAATAAATATTATTATTAATATTTTTGTTCTTATTTTATTTATTTTATTTATTTATTATTTTTTTTATTTTTTATTATATATATATTATTTTATTTATTTTATTATTCATTTTATTTATTTTTTGTTATCTGTATTATTTTTATTTCCATTTTATTTTTTATTGTCTCTATTATTTTCTTTATTCTCATTTAATTTGTCTTTTATTTTATTATGTTTTTTTTATTCTTATAAATTAATTTTGTGCTTGCAAAGAATAAAAAATTTAATTTTTTTTCGTCTATGAATAATGAGAGAAATTTTTTAATTTTTAGGAGCTTATCAACCAAGCAACGAACTTATGCTCCGATTCTACAGTTATTATAAACAAGCGACAGAAGGACCTTGCTCAAATCCAAAACCAGCTTTTTGGGAAGTTGTAAAAAAAGCAAAATGGGATGCTTGGACACGTTTAGGCAACATGAGTCGCACAGAAGCGATGAATAATTATGTCGACGAATTAAAAAAAGTAAAACAAAATTCCTTGACATTATTATCACTTTTTTTTCGTTTTTTGTTTTTCAAAGAAGAAAATATGAATTTTTTTTTTATTTATTCTGAATATATTATGTTAAAATTTGTTATGAATACTTATTACAAGAATAATGGAAAAATAATTAATTAAAATTAAAAAGTAATTAAAATTAAAATGTAATTCAAATTAATAAATAAGTAGTTAATTAAAATAAAAAATAATTCATTGATAAAAATTGAAAATTCAATCAAATTTCTAGAAAATTGAAATAAAGTTTTAAATTTAAGAAAAATTGTTTAAATTCTTTAAGATTTGTATTTAATTCATAAAATTAAGAAATGAATAAATAATAAAATAATTAAAAAATTCAATTATTCTTTTGATAAAACATTCTTTATAAAAAATTTTAAAAAAGTAATAAATTAAAATATTTTTTTTCTTTAGATTGTTGAAACAATGTCCTATACGGATAATGTGGCAAATTTTCTTGGAAGTTTGGATTCATTTTATGAGAGTGTTCCTGCTGAAGACTTGGAATTATTAGTGGGTCCCGTTTTGGAACGAATGCGCTCTCAACCCGGTTCACCTTTGTCTGGCTCTCCACTAGGTAAAAAAAAAGAAAAAGAATAAACAAAAAAAGAAAAGAGAACAGGAATTCTGAATTTATTGAATTAATTTTGAAAACGAGTTTTTTATTTTAATTTGTACTACATATTTATTTTTAATTATTTATTTAGTAATGTAAATGGACTGGTTGAAATAAAAGGAGATTTCGTATTATTTTTTTTATACATTTTTTTTATTTTTTGAATACATTAAAATTTATTTTTACTTTTTATACAATTATTTCAACAACAAAAAATTTTTTTCTTAAACTTTTATTTTTTATTTAATTTTATTTGTCTTTTTTGGAGATTTATATACAAAGTTGTCTAAATTTTATTCATTCGATTATAATTCATAATTTTTGTAATCTCTAATTATAATGTATAAAATTTGAATTTATAAAATTGTAATTTATTAAATTTGAATTTATAAAGTTTTAATTTATTAAATTTGAATTTATAAAGTTGTAATTTCTAAAATTTGAATTTATAAAATTGTAGTTTATAAAATTATAATTTATAATTTTATACAGAATACATTATAACCTGACAGAATGCAATTTTATTTAAAAAATTTTTTTACATACAATGTTGTCTGACAAGAATCATCATCACTTAATGACAGAATATGGTAAAATGGATTTTTATAAATTATTTTTTAAACTTTACTGCAATAAAATTTTAAAAATCAAATTGCTTTCAAACAGGTCCAAAAATAAAAAATAAAATTTATAAAAATTGACGAAAATTAAAATAATATTTTATTAGAGTCATAATAAAAATTCTCTTTCAATCATAATGATTGAATGAAAATTAATTTCAAAAATTAAAGTCCATGATTAACGAAAAAATTAATTGAAAATTTAAATTATGAATTTAATTTGTTATTCAATTTTTGTAAATTTTTTTAAACTCAATTTAATTTCTATTATGTATTCACGAAGAACTGAAATATTTCTTCCCAAACTCGTTTTCATCTTGAGTTCTAGAATTAATATTTATATATTGGTGTACAAAAGTGGTGGTCAAATTTGTTTTTCCATTGAGTGACATGTCAATTATTATTATAATGATTCGGAGAAAAACTAACTTATTACGCAATCGTCCACTTAGAAAAAAACAAGAGAACAGAAAGAGAAAAGTATTCACGTCAAGGATGTAAATTTTTATTTTGCAAATATTAAAATTAATTTATATATATTTTCATTTTATTTGTACCTATTTTTTTATTATTTATTTTAATATTCGTAGCATATTTTATAAATATCTAGAAAAGTTATATCGTCACTTTTTACATTTTGCCTTTATTTTATCAGGATCAAGAGAAACATCGCCGAACCGAGTGCGAAACACATCAAGACACATAACGAGCAGCTTGGAAACAAGTCCTGCAAGTAGTCATAGTGCAAGTCCTTTGCCTCCTGACACTGATGGCGAGGAAGAAGAATTCAAAGACACGCTCGAAGTACGTTTTTTTTCTCCCTCCTTAGACGATAAGAAAAACTTGCAAATAATTAATCACAAGTGATGCGATATTTATGATTCAGAAATTTTCTGTCATTTGTAAAAACGAATTAATTGAACAGGAGATTAATTTTTTTTTAAACACCATAAATTTTTACATTAATGATAATTTGAATTTATGGTGTTTTGAAAAAATAACGATGGTTATAAATAACAATTTTAATTTTCTGGTATTTTAGAAAATAACACTCGTTATAAATGATAATTTTTTTTATGGCATTTTAAGAAAATATAGCTCGTTGAATTATAATTTTTATCTATGATAATTGTATTTGCATAATTATAATTTGTAATTAATTGCAAATTGAATCAAAATTAGTTCGAATCGATAATAATTTTACAGGGAATTATCTAATTAATTGGTAATAATTAATGTTAATATTTCATGTTATTGCATAAATTAATTAAACTTTTAATTGTTTCAATTTTTTACATTATTTTCGGGAATTCAATTATAACTGAAATTTTTTTTCAAATCATTTCTTATCTCGATTGTTATTATATAAAATTGAATATAATATAATTTAATTACATTTTTATAAAAATTATAAAAGTTTTGAATAATTTTAATCAAAAATTCTAAAAAATAATTTAATTTTGGAAGAATTGCAGTTGTGATTTTTAGAAACAATTAAATTTGAAAAGGTTTTTTTGGTGAAATTTTTTGAAGTTTTAATTCCTGGGAAAAAATGAGTGTTTAAATATTTATTTAACAGAAATTAAGGATATTTTGAATAATTAAATTTAGAAATTCTGAAAAAATTTGTTTTTTGAAAAATTGTAATAACAATTTTTTAAAGGGCAATTGAAAAAAGTGAGAAAATAAAATTCTTTGAAATATAAAATGTAGTTTAATGAAAATTTTGAGAAAAATTCCTATTTTTTCAATTTTTAAAAAATTATTCTCATGAATTCAACTATTTTCAAAAAATTTTAATTACGTTTTTTTACATTTTTCCAGAATTTCTAAATAGAATTCTTCAAACTTTATTAATTTTTGTTCAATAATTATTTGAGCTGTAAAATAGTTTGAAATGAAAAAGACAAAAAGCCCTAATTTCTCGTGAGAACGAAATATCTTGATTATTATTATATAATTACAATGAATATAGTTATTAATTAATTGTTCGCAGACGAACAGAAAATAATTTTTAAATTAAGAATTCAAATAGAATAATTAAATATGTAATTTTTTTATAATTATTAATTTCTTTAGTTACACGAGCAAAGAAAAAATAATTTATAATTTATAAATGAAATTAGATTGAATTTAGTAATTAATTAATTGATTATTTTCAGTCGGCGCCAGAGCGATCGCAGAAAGATTTAATGAAGTCTTCCAATGGTTTACAGTCACACATAGTTAATAATTCATATTGTAAACATAACAAGCCGAATGTTGTGACAAAAGAAAATTCGACCGAATTATTAAATGGATATTCTCACACAAATGGCCATATCGAAAATTGCGATTCGAAACAGGACAGAGGTCGAACTCGAGTCAGGAGAGACGATAAAGCTGACGCTGAATTCTTCAATCACATAGCTTGTACAATGCAAAATTTACAAAAGGATTTGGACAGGATAACGGCGAGGGTTCGTAATTTAGAGGGTCAGGCATTGTCAGTTCTGACACCGCAGTCCGTGAGTGTTTTTTCATTTTTACTCTTCATTCTTTGTTCTTCTCTTTATTTATCATTCTATTCTATAATTAAATATTCTATTCTAAATTTTTAATTAAATTTTATAAGAAAAATCTCTTTGAAAATAAATTTTCTTAAATTTAAATCTCTACTTTATAAAAATCTAATTTACAATATTGAAGGTTTATAATTTTTTCTACAAGATTTATCATTGTTTCAAAATTATTTTACAGTTAATTACAATTTTGGATAATTATTCAAGTTTCGAATAATTGAATTTAGAAATCAGGGAAATAAAAAAATTAAATTTTTGTGACACGACTTTTTTGACTTTGACTAAAGCGACATTTTTTGTGCCTTAAAGTCGATCCAAAGCCTGTTGATAACAAAATAAAAATTAATTATTTAATTTTTTCTATTTTTAATCGACTAAAGAGACTTTTTTGCGCCTTAAAGCCGATTCCACTAAATAAATAAATAAAATAAATTAATTACAGTGTGAATTAATAAAATAAAATTATTTAAATTTGAACATTAAAATAATTTTTAATTACAGGACCAGCGAAGGAGTCGGGGCTATTCTAAATGGTGGCCATTATCCGAATGTTCGCCAAGAATGTTTGCGTTATTGATTGTTTGGCCTTTTCTAGCACAAGCTCTAGTTTTTTATGCACAGCGATATCGTCAACGAAAACTGTGATTTCCTTTTTAAAAATTCTTTAATACGAGAGATAATTTCTCTCCTTCCCCTCCAAAAAAAAAAAAGGAAAGAAAACATTGAGTCTTCAAGTATAATTATAATTATTGGCTGTTGATCCTAGTGTAATCTTATGGGTATATTGTATATAGTTTTAAAAGTTCTTATCAATTTACACGTAGATCAATTCTAAAAGTAAAGAAAAAGGCCAAGGAGAATACATTCCACATTTATGTTCATGTTGTGCAAAGGAAAAAAAAATATTCATTACCGGAAAAAAGAATTTTTTGTTTTGTTTTCAGTAACAATAGAAGTATGGAAACATTTTTTTGAATTTAATTCTCGTGAATTACGAATTAATTCACGAAGGAGAAAAGAGATTAATTTTTGAAAAGCTTAAGAGTCATTTTCATATAAAAATCGATATTCACTATCAATTTTTTTAATTAGGATTTTCAAATTTTAATCCCTTTTCGAAATTTACCATTCAATTGTAATTTATACAAAAATTTTAACTCGTAATATTTCAATTTTAAATTTTTTCTTTCATTAGAAGCAAAATTAGAAAAATTTGAAAGACATTTTTTCAATAATTCGTGAATGTTGCTTTAAAGTAAATAAATTAAATTAATTTAAGTCTAAATTTAATTTTCAAGTAAATTAAATTGTTTTTTAGGAAAAATTACCAAATTTTATATTCGAAATACTTCGAGATTGTTTATTGATTTGTGATTACTGATTGGTAATCGAAGTATAATTTATAATCGAAATACAATTTGTAATTAGAGAGAATATTATGAGAATGATTTATAGAAATCTGAATATGATGTGTCATAAAATGTTAAAAAAAATTGTAATATATTTAGTTTTTAATCGGGCAAATCCAAAGTTTCGTAATATTTTTTAGCTTGTTACTGGTTTTTTTTTTAATCATAGAAATAGAATCCATTGTTATAATAATGTTACATAGTTTTTTTTCTATATTTTTAAGTCACAATAATGTTTTACGAAGATAAAAATTGTTTTTATTTATTTACAGAAATATTATATTATTTTTATTTTCGAAAAGACAATGTTTGCCAAAAATTGGTTTTTTATTTTAAGAAGAGTAGAAATTTATCGTCAATCTCTTTGATGGTAAATTTTTTTTATTTACATTCAAATTGCAAATTTTTACTTGAAATTGAAATGCAATTGAAATTAATTACAAATTTTTATTTGAAATTGAAATTTAATTTAAATTAATTGACAATTTGTATTTAAAATTGAAATGTAATTGAAGTAAATTACAAATTTGTATTTAAAATTAAAATTTCAAATTTGTATTTGAAATTGAAATTTCAAATTTGTACTTGAATTTACTTGAAATTGAAATGCAATTGAAATTAATTGTCTCCTAGTGTAAAATGTGACATTGTTTTTATATGGCTGTGCAAAATTCTTGATGTCTGATAATGAAAGAACAGAAAAAAAAATTAAAACACGTTTTTAGAAATCTTTTATAATAGATTTTTTGTAATCTGAGAAGAAAAACGATTCGAAGTTAAAAGATTTTTCTTGTATATTGTAATATCCATTACCACTTACCAGTTCTTTTAATTTCTCTTTTTTTTTCTTTTTGTTCAGCAGCAATAAATCATTTCCTGAAAGAAAGTATAATTTTACGATATAATGGATTTTTAATGTCTTGTGAATCTTAAACAGATTTGCAATTATCCGTTTTTTGGTCACACTTTTTTGTGTTTGCGAATTACGTGAATTTTTATTGGTTATGATGCAAAAAAAAGAAGAAAAAAAAGGAAGGAGGAAAGAGTTTCATTGAAAGAGAAAGTAAATGAAAGTTAGGATATTTTTAAGATTAGATAGATTCGAAAGAAAATTGAAATTTTAATAGTACATACCTAGAAAATGAATCGTTTTTTTTTGTTTTTATTAAATTTTATAAAATGTATGGCATAATTATTTCCTAGAGCTTTTTATTTTTACTAACTTTTCGTAATATCGGAAAATTTTATACTTTCAAAAAAAAAATGTAATATTTGCTTGAGACTTTTTAATAAAGTAATTATCTATTATTGTTGGTTGTTAACTTATTTTTAAAGACGATTTTTTTTCGTTTTTTAAAGATTTTTATTTGTTTTTTTTTATACTTTAGATTTTAATGTTTTTGGAAAATGTTATTCCAACCGATTTTAAAGTTCGTTAAAAATTAATTTTCTGTTTTAATAATTTGAAATAATTTTAATAATTAATTTTATAATTTGTTTAATAATTAATCTATTAAATTTACGAATAAATTAATGTTAATTATTAAATATGTATTTAATAAATTGAAATTGTGATTATAAAATATATGATTATTTATTTAATAATCACAGCTTCAAATTATTTTTCCAATATTTTAAATTTTAATTTAATTGCGGTGAAAATAAAATTTATTTCAACCAATTTTACAATTCGTTAGAAATTCATTAATTTGTTGATTTAATAATTGAAGTATATAAACAATAATTGTGATAAATTAATTTATTTATTAAATTTGTGAATAAATTATTTATTAATGGCAATTTTTAAATATATATTCAATAAATAATTATTTATTTCACAATAATGAAATATTTATAAATTAATATTTATATTTAATATTATTAATTATTTATTAAAAATTGTTTAAATTTGTAAATAAACAATACGTTTAGCTGAAGACAATAGAAGTAAATTTAAATTGCTCTTCAATTGTGAAATATTTATGCCCTCGAAATAATATTCGCTCAATAAAATGGAACACTTATTAATTAAATTGTTTCGCTAATTATTATAATTAATAATAATTATAATTATTGTAGTGTTTAAAATTCTATTTTTAAAATGCGTTCAAAATTCTGATTTTAAAATGCGTTCAAAAAGTAAATTAGATTATTATACGCACGCGCGTAAACTTTCACTTTCAATTGGAGGAATTACAAGTTCTCATCACAGTATACAAGACGTGTTTTTTTGGAGCATCATTTTTAATAATTCCTTAAACAAAAAATCTTCGACAATATTGTATTAAGACTATTACATTGTCTTCATCAAATCATTATGATTTGAAATTTCAATCGGTGTTAATGATTCTCACAGAAGGGAAGACAACATTTTGTCAACATCATTTAAATTGAAAAGTGTTAAAAGTATGTTTGCTTCCGGATTGTTTTTTTCTATTGTGGTGGGAATCGCATTATTTCAAAATTCATCAGCTAATTATTTAACTGCTGATGATTTAGGAACAGTTATATTTTCCAGTTTGGTAATTATTTAAATTTTCTATCACTTTCTTTTCTTTGTGTTTATTAAATGTGTCATAATTTTTAGGTTATTTTTCATCTTTATTCAAACAATATGTAATGTTTTGATTTTTATATTTTTGTGTATTTTTCTTTTTTTCATTTAAAGAAAATACTTTGATTTGGAGAAATTTGAAAAATAAATGTTAATAATTTTAATAAATTAAAATTTGTATTTCGAAATAATTTCTATTTTAGTTTGTAGATCTATAAATATAATTTTAATCTTTTATTTATGAACGTTCATTTTAATAATGTATTTAATTGTTTCTGAGGTTCATGACTTTTTAAGTGAATTCATTTTTTGTAGAATTTTTTTGTCTCGATTATTATTCATGACTAATTCTTTTGTAATAATTAAAATACTGTTAATAATAGAGACTATTCTTTGAGTTGACAGACCATATGTTTTACAAGTTTGAAGGTTTTTTTTTTGTTTTCTGATAAAACGTCACACGCAGAGAATAAAACTTGTTTAACCAGGAAAACTCGTTTTTAAACTTATTTATAAATAAAAATAATTTTAAATTGTACATTTTCGGAGCAATTTTGATTGTAAAAAATATTTTATTATAACATTTACATGTTTTTAAATATTTAATTATTTATAAATAAAAATAAATTTTATTTGTAAATTTTCGGAACAATTTTGATTGTAAAAAATATTTCTTTTATAAATGTACGTAAGTGATGTAAATAATTAAGAATTATTTTATTTATTTTTAATTTTTTTAATAAAAATTTTTTATCCTACTATTTCCTTGGTAAAATTTATTTTATTAGGGAAGGAGAATATAATAAATAGATAAAATTAATTCGTACGTGGAAAAAAAGAGAAATTAAATACAAAGCGATAGTGGAAATAAAGAATGAAAAATGAAATGTGAGAAGATAAATAATTAGCTCAAGAAAATTGTTATTTTAATTCATTCCTAGAAGTTTATTGACTGCATCAATTTGTTGTGGATTGATAAAGAAATGTTCGGCCTCGCATGACTTGCATTAATAATTACAAGTTAATTAATTTTCATAATGATTTTCTCAACTTATTTTATTGGTCGTAAATTTGATAATAATTCATTTTTAACGCAGTTTTCAATATTTAAGAAATAAATATTTGTTCTTATTAATTTAATTATTTATAAAATCAGCTTTTTATCTAAAGTAAAAAAATTAAGTTTAGTTTATTTATTTTGAAATTTATTATTTATTTTTTATTATTAATTTATTATTGATTATTATTATCTATTTATTTATTTCTATAAATTGTCATTTAATAATTTCTCTAAATTATTGTTTATTAATTTCTCCAATGATCTTTCTCTAAAAAAAGTAGTAAAAAAAATTATTAAATTTCTCTAATAATCTATCTCAAAAAAAAAATTAATATTTCTAATAATTTTTCTCGAAAAAAATAAGAAAAGAAAATTATTAATTTCTCTAATAATTTATCTCTAAAAAAATAAACGAGAAATTAATTTCTCCAATTCCAGAAAAAAATAAAAGAAAATGATTAATTTCTCTAATAATCTTTCTCTAAAACAATGGTAAAAATATTGTGAATTCTCTCTAAAAAAATAGTAAAAAAAATTCTTAATTTCTACAAATTTTTATTATTTATTAATTTCCAGAAATTATTGTAGGAATAAAATTATAAAGCACGAAAATGATAATTTATGAATTATTCATATTCTCTCTTCTCCATAATAATGTGAACAATAGTTTTAAACAGGAAGATAAATGATTCATTTTATATTTACAATAAAATTGCAAGGATGAGCAAGCAAAAAAATATTTAATTCGCAAACTCAGTTAAAATGGTTGAAAAGTTGCATTTATCTGTTTATTGTAATTGTTCTTGAATTACATTTCTTTTTGTGCACATCAATATCGACCAAAGGTTGTTTTCTACAATAGTAAATATGTAACGAATCTATAAGCAACTAAAATTTTTATAAGTCTTGAACAATAAAACATTCGATTCAAGGACTGGTAAAATATTACAATTTTAATCATACACAAAATTTGTGCAAATCAACCGTTTATTAATAATAAATTATAAATCAAATTAATTGAAATAAATTATTTCGAAATACTTTTACTTTGGAATATTTAAAAAATTGTAAATATAAGAAAAAGAAAAATTTGTTTTATATTGAAAATTTGAAAATAAAAGAAAAAAAATTAAATTTACATTAAAAATTTGAAAAAAGGAAAGAAAAAATTAATTTTACATTAAAATTTTTTTAAAAAAGGAAAGAAAATTAATTTTTTATTAAACGTTTGAAAATAAAAGAAAGAAAATTAATTCTGTTTTAAGACTTTGAAAATAAGAGAGAGAAAAATAACTTTATTACAAATTTGAAAATTAAGAAAAAATAATTGATTTTCTATTCAAAACACAAAAATAAAAGAAATAAAAAAAAATTTTGTTAATAGAAGAGAGAAAATTAATTCTATATTAATTAAAATTAAAAATAAAATAAAATTCTATATTATAAATAAATAAATAAATAAATATATTAAAAATTTTGAAAATGAGGGAAAGAAAATTAATTTTGCGTTATAAATTTGAAAATTAACGAAAGAAAATTTATTCTGTATTAAAAATTGGAAAATAATTTACAAAAAAATGATTTTTTAATTAAAAATTTGAAAATGAAAGAAAAACTATTAAATTTTTAATAAAAATTTAAAAATAAAAAAAGAAGATTATTTTTTTAGTACAAATTTGAAAATAAAGGGAAAAAAGAATTTCTCCATTAAAAATTTCAAAACAGAAGAAAGAAAAATATTTTTTTATTAAAAAATTGGAAATAAAAGAGAAAATTAATTCGGTATTTTAAAAATTGGATAATAAAGGAAAGAAATTTAAGTTTTTTATTATAAATTTGAAAAGTAACGAATAAAAATTAATTCTATATTAAAAATTATTTTTCTTTCTTCTACTTATAAAATTTTAATGGAGAATTCGTTTTCTTCCTTTTATTTTGAAATTGCTAATTAAATTAAAATAAAAATGATTTTTTATTAAATATTTCCAAATAAAGAAAAAAAAAGGAATTCTCTATTAAAAATTTCAAAATAAAGGAAAAAAACGAATTCTTCATTAAAAAATTCAAAATAGAAGAAAGAAAAAAAATTTTTAATAAAAAATTTCGAAATAAAGGAAAAAAACTAATTATACATTAAAAATTTTATAACTGATACAAGAAGGAAAATGAATTTTGTTTATGATAGTTACAAACTGAATTCAAAATAAAAAGAATATAAATCAAAATATTACTTGTTTGAATATTTTCTGTCATGTAATGTTATTTAATTTTTTTCTGATTTAAAAATTGTGAACAATTTTTTTTAAGCTTTTCAGACATGGAGATCGAACGCCTGTCGATCCTTATCCAAATGATCCTTATCGAAATGAATCATCATGGCCTGTGCCCTTCGGACAGTTAACAAACGTAAGTTTTATTTGTTTATTTTTTACTTTCAAGAATTTTGAAAATTTAATAAAGTAAAAGTTTTTACAGTTTAACTGTATAAATTTTTTTTTATTTGCCCTGTAGGAGAATTTAAACATTATCTTAATTTTGTTAATTAATTAACTAATTAATTAATTACTTAATTTCTTATTTAATTAATTACTTAATTTTTTTTTTAATTTATTAGTTAATTTATTACTTAATTACCTATTTAATTTCTTAATTAATTAATTTTTTATTAAATTAATTACTTATTTAATTAATAATATAGCTTTTTAGGACCTTAAATTGTAAATAATGATGAGATTTTTCGTGGCCTTTGGTCCAATAAGTAGAAGTGATTTTTTAGTCAGTAAAAAAATTGGTTACTGACAAAAAATCACTTCTACTTATTTGACCAATGGCCTGAAAAAATATAATTATTTATTTAATTAATTTAATTAAAATATATAATTTCATAAATTAATTCTTTTCTTAAAATTAAAATTTGTTTAAAAAAATTGCAGTTGGGAAGACATCAGCATTTAATGCTTGGACGATGGTTGAGGAATCGCTACAGTAAACTATTGCCCGAGACTTATACGTATTATGATATTTTTGTTCGGAGTACGGACGTCGATCGCACTCTAATGTCGGCCGAGTCGAATTTAGCAGGATTATATCCACCCGAGGGCAAGCAAGTTTGGGACAATTTGAAATGGATGCCCATTCCAGTGCACACTGTACCCGAGAAGGAGGATCATATTCTATACGCCAGGAAATATTGTCCACGCTATGAATATGAACTCGAAAAGCTTATGAATTCTGATGAAATGAAGAAAATTAATCAGGAAAATGCTCAAGTCTATGCGTACCTCACTCTTCATACGGGAAGAAAAATTAACACTCTGGAAGATGTGAATACAATCTATAATACACTTTTTATTGAGGTAAATAGAAATTTTTTACCTTTGAAAATTAGAACATTTTTTTTGCAATTTTGTATTTTTTCTGAAATTTTTTTTCTAATTTCGTATTTTTTCTTTTTTCTGACATTTTTTTCTAATTTTGTATTTTTTCTTTTTTTTGAAAAACTAAACTTCATAAGACAATTGAGAATTTTGAGTTAATATTAATATTGATAATTTTAATTAAGTTAATAATTCACTTGAACGAATTTGAATTTAATTTACTTTGGATTTTTTAAGTTCAGAAATTGAAAAACTTTTTTGTTTTTTTTATTTTAGGAACTTTATAACAAAACGTTACCAGCATGGACAAAGGCAGTGTATCCAGATAAATTGAAACCGATTGCAGAGATGAGTTTCGAGACTGATTGTTATAATAAAATTTTAAAGCGCCTAAAAACAGGTTCATTGCTTGGTGAAATGGTGCAAAATTTATTAATGAAATCGAAAAATTCGTTGAATCCGGATAGAAAATTGTGGATTTATAGTGCACATGACGAGACGGTGGCAAATTTTTTGATGACGTTGGATTTATTCGACGCCCATTGTCCACCGTATGCTGCTCTTGTTTTACTCGAATTGAGAGTAAATTCGAAAAATCAACACATTGTCACGGTCTGTAGAAAAAAATTCTTTTCTTTTCAAATAATATTTCTTGTTTTCTTTTCAAATAATATTTCTTGTTTTCTTTTCAAATAATATTTCTTTTTTTCTTTTCAAATAATTATGTTTATTCTTTTCTTTTCAAATAATATTTCTTCTTTTCTGTTCAAATAATATTTCTTCTTCTCCTTTAATATTATAAAAATAATATTTATATTTGCTTTTTGTTAAAACTGTTTTTGTTTCTTTTTAAATTAAAAACTCATTTCATTCAGGTTTATCAGAAAAATTTGCTTATTTCCTGATTTTCAGAAAGAATATTAACTTCTTTCCTCGTCATGGTAATAAATTAAATTAAAATAAATTTTAATTAAAACAATTTAATTTTCTTTATTATTTTCAAAATTTTCAGTTGAAATTCTTCAAAAATACAATCTTTAAATCTTTAAATATATAATTTATTTCAATGAAATTTGACAATATTTCCTGTTTCAATTTTTTAAAATTATTTTCGGAAATTCGACTATCTTCAAAGCATTATAATTATAATTTAAAAAAAAAAACAAATTTTTTCAGAAATTAAACCTTTTCAAATTAAATTGTTTCTAAAAAACACAACTGCGATTCTTCCAAAATTAAATTATTTTTTTAGAATTTTTGATTAAAATTTCTCAAAACTTTTATAATTTTTATAAAAATGGAATTAAATTAATAATTCTATTATATATAATACTAATTGAGATAAATGATTTGAAAAAGAATTTCAGTTATAATTTTTGAATATATTTCAAGAATTGTTCTAATTTTAATTAAATTATAAAAGATTTCCAACAGAAAGTATTTTGAAAATTTTAATTCCTGCTGGACAAATAAATAATAAGAATTCAAATATTTATTCAACAAAAAATTAATGCAATCTGAAAAATTTTATTTAAAAATTAAGAGAAAATGTAAAAAATCGTAATTAAATTTTTTTGAAAATAGTCGAATTCACTAAACAAAATTTTTAAAATAGGAATTTTTCAATTTTTCTCAAATTTTATTAAAGTAAATTTTATATTTGAAAGAATTCTAATTTCAAACTTTAAAAAAATATTTTTAAATATTTTGTATCTTTTTCAAGACTTGCAAGTAAAAATTTGGAAAATAATTAAATTTTACAAAAAATTTTCTATTCAAATAAAATTATAAGAAGAAGTTAAAAAAAGGAATTTCAGAAAGAATTTTACTTAAAATTTTGTAAAATAATTCTGAATAATTTTATTCCAGAATTTAAAATTGACTTTGGAAATAAAATAATTGACTTTAGAAAAATTGCATTTGTAACTTTTAGAAAAAATTAAAAAAATGTTTTCCTTTGAAATTATTTGAAATTTCAATTAAAATAAATAACAATAAGTTTTTAAATATTTGTTTAACAAAAACTGTTGAATTTTTGAATACTTAATTTAATGTGAAAAAGACTAGAAAAAAGTTTTCTGAAAAATTGTAATTAGAATTTTTTTTTTTTTTGAAGATAATTGAATTCTTGAAAATAATTTTAAAAAATTGAAACAATTAAAAGTTTTGTCAAAATTCATTGAAATAAATAAATTCAGAAGAATTTTAATTCATTACTTTTAAAAATTGTTTTCAAATATAATAATTTTTATTTATGAAGAATTATATTTCAAAAATTATATTTTTTAATAACTAGTAAATTTTTATTAAAATACTTTTTTTTACTTTCAAGAATTTTTTTCACTTTCAAAAAGAAATTTTTTGTAAACTAACAATCGGTCTTGAAATTTCACCGCGCTTGCTTCATTTATTTATAAAAATAATTTATATTAATTTAATCAAATTTTTACGATTGAATTTTTTTTTTTTTTAGAAATATGAAATATTTCGTAAAAAATTGTAATTTTTTTCCATTTGTAGATTTCTTACAAAAATTCGAGTGCAGAGCCAACTTTGTTAACTCTTCCGGGTTGTGTTCCTGGATGTCCATTGAAGCAGTTTGTGAAACTGACGAAAGATTTAATTCCGGAGAATTGGGAAGAAGAGTGCTTAATTCGAGTGTTGCGCAATGAATTTTTAAGTCCTAAGGGAGTTATAGGTAAATTTTAATTAAAATTTAATAAAAGTAAAAAACTTCTCTGGTCCTAATTAACTAAAAAAAAATTCCAATATTTAATACTTTAAGTAACTAAAATTCAAATGAGTATTAATTGAATTAAATTAATTTCCCGGAAAAATTAGTTCCACATGTTTGCTCAGTTTTAATTTTTTCCATAATGAAATTAAATTATTGAAATTTTCATTATTTCGTGATTAATAAAAAAATGTTTTTCAGTGATGCTGACTTCATCTGTATTGATGTTGATAATATTGCTGATACTATTTGTTGGATTGGTTTATGGATATCATAGACGAAAATACGATCAGTATTATTTACGATTGACGACTGAACCTATGTAAGAAGGAAGAAAAATAATTGTCCTACCTCAAAGTTTATACATCGACATTGGAATGGTATTAATGTTATTTATTTATTTTTTTTTGGAACACTTGCATTACTTTTAAAAGCTGATCTTCCAGAAGTAAATTTAAGTACTGACCAAATTTTTACTATTTAAGTCTACAACTATACTGGTAAAGAAATAAAAAAAAAATTATATAATTATATAATTTACAATTATAAAATTGTATATTATATAATTTATAATTATAAACGTACTGTTATGCATATTATATAGTTATATAAAATAATAACAGTAAAATTTGCAATAATGAAAAGTATAGTAAATTCAAAAGCAAAGAGGCTTAATCTGGAATTCACTTGAATATAGAAAAAATTTTCAAGAAATTTATACATATTTTTCGAAATTTTATGGTAAGACTTTTTCCGTCTAGTCATAATTTTTTTTCTGCAAACTGTGAAATGTGAATGAAAACTTAGATTTATTTTTTACTATTTTTTAACAAGAAAAGAGAAATAATAAATAATATATAGATAAATAATAATAATAGATATGAAATAATGTTAAAACACAATTGTTTATTTTGAGAGATGAATATATAATCAAATATAGAAAAAATTAAATGAATCAAATCAAATGAAATCTTTTCTTATATTTTTTACAAAAGAGAAACGAAAAGAAATCAAATTAAATGAAAAGAAATGGAAATCAAATCAAATATTGTAAATGTAAAAAAAGGAAAATAAAATATTTTATTTTCAAATATTTTTACTGATTTTTTTTAGTGAAAAATATACTATTTTCAAATTTTTTTAACTGGTTTTTTTGTTATTTAAAAATATTTTTTATTTTCAAATATTTTTACTTGTTTTTTTAGTAAAAAAAATGTAATATTTTAAAATATTTTTACTGGTTTTTTGTTAGTGAAAAATATACTATTTTCAAATAATATAAGATCGTGCCAAATAGATAATGGGAGATTAATTAAATCTTCGAATGATTGATCATTTGCTTTTTTATTTTTCCTTTTCTCTCGATGAAATAAAGACTATTCTCAAATAAACAATTATGTTGATAAAAATAAAGACAATTGTATATTTCTAAAGAGAATCGAATCGCAAAACTTAGATTTTTTACCTATTGCTCATTTGTAATATGGCTGAGTTTTTTTTTTAAAGAAGAATATTTGTGATAAAGTATTACTTATAGAAATAATCAAATTTCTGTAATAAAGATAATTTTCGAGCACAATATTTCATGTGGATTTATTTGTGAAAATTGTTTTCACACTGAAAAACATTTTCTTTCGGATCTTTACTGCTTTAATTTTTATTTCAATTTACGGTTTTTAATTAATAAGATTAGATTTTATTTTCTATATATTGTTAAATAATATTATAATTTATTAACTAATCTAACCATTTTTATTAATTATAATAATTTACTTTTTTTTAATTAATAAGATTTCTTTTCAGGAATTTAATAAAAATTGTATTGATTATAATTTATAAATAGTAATAATTAATCCAATATCTTTGAAAAATGAATATTCAGTGATAAAACTTAAAATATTTATTGTCAATTATATACAATTTACAAACAAGATATTTTTTTCCGTTAAATATACAATAATTATGACTTTCGTTGAATTTGAGAATTTTTTTTTATACATACAAATTTACAGTGGTAAAAAAATTCATCGAGTCTGTTGTTGAAAATCTCAAAATTAGTTTATCGTTTGATTCATAGAAAAGATATTATTGTAACTATCCGAGGCCTCGTCAGCTGAAAATGCTGGATTTGTTCTGAAATACAATTTTATTTTCTTTATTTTCACACATTCACGAGCGTCACCCTGTTTCACTGATGATTTTTTCTGTTTTTGATAGTTATAAAAAAAGAAAAAAAAAGAAAATACTCGCAGTTAGTACAATGCTTGTGTTAAATTAGTGACACACAAGTATCGCTCGTTCGATATCTTCGTGAAATATCTCTTGACAAATCTTCACCTCTTTAGAAGTCCCATACTGTCTTTGTCAGAGAAAAACATGCAAGAGGAAAAACCATATTGTTAATCACTTTTCAAAAATGATAGAAAAAAACATTTTTTTTTGTTAATTAAAAAAAACACTCAAGGCAGCACACGAAGCTATGTTATTTTTTTTGAAACTATTAATATTTTTCTAATATTTAAATTTTAATTGCTTAATTATTTCGGGCAAATATTTCACTGCTTAAGCTACTTTTATATATTTTTTTTTTTGGAATTTTATACTTGAAGCAGAATTTCTCTATTTTATTCTAGTTTTCATTTTTTACTAAACAATTTTTATATTGTTTAGTAATAAATTTTTATTTTTTACTTTGGTGAAGTTCACGACGTTTATAATCGACGATTTCAAAAAAAATATTTTTTCTACTTTTTCCTATAGTTTTTTGATCAACAATAAAATAGATAAAATATTTTTCTTTTTAAATTCTCTATAAGAAATTTTTTTCCATAGTTTTTTGATCAATAATAAAATAAATAAAGTAATGAAAATATTTTTCTATTTAAAATTTTCATATTTTTTCCATGGTTTTTTTTTATCAATAATTTAAAAAAGAAGAAAATAATTTAAATATTTTTCTATTTCAAATTTTCATACTTATTTTTTCTCATCAAAAGATAAATAATTCAAAAATAAAAATTCTAAACGAAATACTTTATTGTTTTCGTCATGAAAAATTTGTTTTCCATTCAATCGTTGATTCAAAAAAGTTGTAAACTTCACCGAAATTATTTTTTAGCGTTAAATATTCTTCTAGTAAATTTTTTTTAGTGATAAACTTAATAATAAATTTTTATTGTAATAAAAAATTACATTAAATTTTTTTCTTTAGCAATTTTACTTCTTCTCGATGAAAAAATGTTAAAGAGAAAATTTTTCATTTCTTTTTTGTAAATTCGTTAATAATTAAAAAAAAAAATTATCAAAATTCGAGTTAATTTTTTTGAAAATTAAAATATTAATTATTTTTATTTTAATGAATTAAAAATCAAATTTTTCTTTGAAATTGGAAATTTTTTTTTCCTTTTATTAATAAGAAATCCTGCTTGGAGTATGAAAAATTTCCTGTTGTCCACGCACCTGACACATACCTTGGCAGCAGCAGTCACGGGAGCATGTATCAAATGGCACATCAGACAGACATCACAAAACTCGCGAATTTTTATTATTCTCGTTTCATTAATTATTATATTATGCTAATTTGCTTTCTATTATGTTTATTTTTATAGTAATATAGTGGCGCTAATTAATTTCTTTGGGCACTTTCGTTTGTTTTTTTTTCTGATTGATGCAGTTATTATGCGTCCAAGGAAAGATCCGAACCGTTGACGAAGCTATGGATAGAAGGAAAAGAGTTATGAGATGATAAAAGTTTACGAAAAAAAAAATTTTTTGAAATTCATCGTGTATTTTTTTTTTTGCAAATGCAGTTTGACTAAAAAAAAATTACTCATTTTATTTATTTTAATTTGTAAATTCCGGTAAAAAATAGTTTTCTATGTCTCAGTATAAAAATATTAGATAATCAATAAATTAATTAATTATTAATCGTTTAATAATGTATTTTTACTTTTTATTTATTTACTTTTTTATTTTTTACATAAAATAGAAAAATACGAAATAAAAATTTGAATATAGAAAGAATTTAATAGTACGAAATAATAATTTGAATATAGAAAGAATTTAATGATACGAAATAATAATTTGAGTAAAGAAAGAATTTTCCTTCACAAAAAATTCAAATTAATCGAAATTATTTTATTCTTAGTAAATTTGTAACCAAAGAAAAAAAAATAATCGAAAACTCCATTTGCAAAATGATAAAATGCATAGAAATGAAATTTAATGTTTTGCAATGAAAAAAGAAGAAGAAAATGAAGACATTTTGTTTTACAAAAATTTATATTCATCATGATTATTCAAAAAAAAAAAAAAATTATTCTACGAAATTCTAGTCTAAAATACAAAAGGCAAATCTAATCAACTATTAAGAATAACAATGACACACAAAATTCGTGCAGAAAATACAAAATACATGATACAAAACTACTACTAAAAAACTAATAATCTAAATACAACGAATTGCATGCAACGATAATTAAAATGATTTTCAAATGAATTTTCGAATGAATTTTCAAATCAATTTTCAAGTTAATTTTCAAATTAATTTTCAAATTAATTTTCAAATTAATTTTCAAATTATTTTTCAAATGAATTTTTAAATGATTTTTGAAATGATTTTTCAAATGAATTTTCAAATGAATTTTCAAATGAACAGTTTCGATTAGAACAAAGATTCGTTTGGAAAAGAATCCTTTTTTTCATGGACAGGAAATAAACTTGAAGGAATAGTGGTTTGATTTATTAAAATCCAAAAAGACGGAATTATTCATGAAGCAAAATATAAAGTTTGTGACTTTCCACAGAAAAGTGCTGCAACAGTGACTATCATGAAAATAATGATAAGATTTATTTTTCTTTAATAGGAAAAAACAATGATTCTTTTCATGCCGTCTTAAATTATTCTCATGCAGTTATTAACATACAATATAAAAATAGCAATAGTGTAAATCGTCAATGGAAGAGATCAAAATTATTGTCAGTATACATTAAAAAAAAAATACGTCGCATTATTTTTGGTTCGAATAATTTAATATAAATTACGTTACTTCTTCTTCCTATAAAAATTTCTCATTTACTTTTTCCTTTAAATACAAAATTTTCTAAATTAATTAGAAATACAATACGTAAATATATTTAAAAATATTCAAACAAATATTAACTATAATAAGTTTTAAATAATTATCTATCAAAAATTACTAACGAAAATTTGTTACTTATTTTTTTAAATACAATATTTGATATGAAGATTAAAATTAAAAATAAGTGTAATAAATTAAAATTTGGTTATTTTTTTCAAAGTTCAAAACAAATGTAAATATATTTTTATAAATAAATTTATATTCAATATTTAACAATAATAAAAATATTGAAATCACTTTGAAATTTTCATTTATGTTTATAAATCGGAAATTTAAACTACGTTTAAATTTTATTAGGAGTTGAAAACTTTTAAATTATTACACTTACAATTTTCTAAAAAAGATACAAATTGTAAATTTTTCAAAATTGTCGTCGATTAAAATTTTCTTTTCTTTTTTAATATAAAAAATAATTGCCGAATTCTAAATAAAATATAAAGTCTAAAACAAATTTCTATATAACTATCTTAATGTAATAATTAATTAAATAATGGTTAACCACAAATATATTAGTATTATTAATTATTAATTATTAATAATTTTCTTGCAAACAAAAAATAAATAAATATGCCTTATGTATAAGAACAATAAAAGTAATTTAATTTTTCATTTCTTACTTTTAGTATTCTGTACACGTTTTTTTGATTTTCATTGAGTATTTTTTTTCTATCTGTCGTTAAAACAAAAAGTTCCTTAAAACTAAGAGTTAGTAACGTGGTATAAAAAAAACCAGTCCGTTTTTTTTATTTCTGTCATATTTGGCACAATTAAAGAAAAAAATACTTTTACGAATCTCCAAAAAATTAAAACAAGGACAAATTACTTTTTTCTTTAAAAAAGAACTAGAGACACTCAAAGCAAAAAATTAAATTGCCCTCGCCTCCACGAGTATTTTGCACATATTTAAGCTAACACATTGGTACAAAATTATTACAAATTTTCCGCCTTTCATTACTGAACAAAATTTAAAAAGCAACGAAAGCATTACTTATTTTGCTAAATTTGTTAAAATAATAGGATTTGTGAAAAAGACGAAAGTCGAAAAATTTTTAAACTTTTTAACAAGTCCTATTAATTCAACTGTTTTAATTGTTTAAAAATTTAAAAACTAACACTGTTTATATTTACGTGAAAAAATATATTGAATTACTATTATAATCATAGTAATAATTATAATTATGATAATATAATAATCATAATTATAATTATATCATGATCATAATCATAATTATGATAATAATAATCATAATTATAACAATAAAAATATTAATAGAATAATAATAATAATAATATTAGAAGAATAAAAAAAAATAAAAATAGAAATAGAAAAATGTAACAATCTCGAGTTTTTTTGCACTATACTTAAAATAAATACTAAATTCTCTAAACTAATTGGTAAAACTCATTGCAATTTGCAGTTTATATTTTAAAATAAAACTTTTAAAAAATAGCAACTTAATTTTCTAATAATTTCCTTTTTCTTTTTCTATATAAAATCTTACCTCGAATAGACGGCAGGATTCGATAATCCAAATGAATTTTCTACCGGACCGCCAATATATTTGGCGACAAACTGTAATGAAAAAATGTATAATTTTAATAGAACGAAAATTATTAACAATATTGAAAATTATTAAATATTAAAATTATATTATATCATGTACATTAAAATTATTAAATATTGATAATTGAAATTATCTAACTGATTGAAATCAGTTAGATAATAATTAAATCATTAATTTTTAATAATTTAAATTACAAATTTTTTTTCTGGAAAACAAATTTTAATTTCTATTTTTTAATCACAATTTTTAAGGAAATTAAAATTTTTTTAGATATTAATTTAAAAAATCTGCAGAATTTCTATTTCATAATTACAATTTTTATTCAAATTCCTTTTTTCTCTTTTTGAAAAAGAAGAAAAAAGGAATAAATTTGAACCATTTATATATTTCTCAATCACAATTTTTCAACAAATCTTTCAAATTTTTTTTTTAGTAATAAAATAAAAAAAAGTTTGCGTAACTTCTATTTCTTCGCTACAATTTTTTTTATCAAAATCTAAAATATTTTTAGAAATAAAGGAAAAATTTTTTTTATAAACTCGATAGTAAGTTTTAATTGAAAATAAAACTGAGAAAGTTTAAAAGATTTTTATAAAAAGAAGGATAAAACTTTTCATAATTTTGATGTGTTAATCATTCTTTGCTTACCAAATTGAAAAAAAAATACATATTTCATTTTAAAATAAAATATTAAAAAATTATAAAATGTTAAAAATACATTTTTTTATTCAAAAAGAATTTGTGTAATTTCTGTTTTTTAATTACAATTTTTTTTACAAATTAATGAAAAAAATTTGCATAATTTCTATTTCATAATTTTCAATTGATTAAATTATTAATTATCTCATGTTTGAAAGCAAAATGAATTTTTACGTTTAATATCTATAGAGAAGAAAAAATGAAAAATACGAACCCAATGATTGCCTAGAGACGTTGCTCCCATATTCACAGCCATGTGTATTATCAAATACACACAAAACGTCAGGTACAAAATTGAGAAAATTGAAAAAGCTAAAATAACTGACCAATGATGTGACAATTTTTCATCGACAGTATTGATTACAAAATAAATATTTATCGATATTACTGTGACTGATAGTAAAGTCGCGACAATTTTATTTCCCCTGAAAAAGAAAAATATTATCATCAACAATAGTAAATAATAATATTTATTTAAAAAAAAACAAAAAGCAAGACCTCATTACACGTGAGAGAAAAAATCCATAAACAAAATTATTTAATTACTAATTCTTTAATTACTGATTATTTAATTACCAGTTATTTAATTACTAATTATTATTTTAACAAATAATCGTTGTGAGAATATTTTTGTTTTTTTCAAAACAGATAACAAATTATTAATCGTTAGAATAATGCATTAAATTATCAAATAAGGATTAGAAAAATAGAACTTACAATCCATTTTTAAATTCTCCCATAATATGAGCACTGCTGGTGAATGCGATAGTTGGTAGAGTGGCGAAAGGTAATTGTAGACTCATAACGGCATTGAGAAGGTCATTCATACCAGTGAGTTTTTCAATGTCCGCATAGAATGCCAATAAAAATGTTGGAATAATTGCAATTGATCGGGTGAATAAAACTCGCTTCCAACGCGCCCATTGTAAATTCAAAAAACCCTCCATTGCAAATTGTCCCGCATAGGTTCCCGTCATTGTTGACGATTGTCCAGCAGCTAAAATTCCAATCGCCCATATTATCATTGCAGCAAAGCCAAACTGACATCCAAGATATATTCCTCCGCTGTACAAATCGGCGTCGTCCAATTTTTCCGTTTTATTCTAAAAATTAAGTAGAAAAAAAATCATTAATTATCCTTCGCTGTCTTTTTTTTCTAATTGGAAAAAGATTAAAATTAAGATTATTATTATTACTCACTTTAAATGCTTCAATTCCAATCGTAAAATTATTATTTTCGCAGATTTCGTACTGAAAGAAAGAAATAGTTGTGTTTAATTATTCTTTTTTTTTAATTTGAAGAAACATTTTTATTCATTTTTCTAAATAGAATTATTTACTCACTATTTCGGAGCCAGTTTTATTAAACAGTCCGTAGGCAAAGACACCCACGACGAAGACATTTATTATAAACGAAATGAACAATGCAATCGCAGCTTCTACAAAATAATACTTATTCGCTTCCTTCACTTTTTCTGGACGTCTGCGATCAATGTCACGTGACTGTAAAAAAAATTAAAAAGCCAAATCATTATTATAAATAATTATACTTGATTGTTATTTCATTATATTTATTAAATTGATAGTAACATTAATTTAATTTATTTAAAAAAATTTTTTTATGGAAAAAAAAATCCCTTTAATTAATTAAACTTACTTTAACGAGTGCACTGTGAAGATATAAATTGTGTGGCATAATAACTGCGCCAACAACTCCAACCGCTTTTAAAAGTACATCACTATTGTAACCTTCGAACGAAGGGATAAACATTCCTTTGACAATTTCTAACTGAGGAGGCGCTGACACAATGTACTATTAAAAAAAAAAATTTATATTAGTCACGATAATAAAATTAATAGAACGCTGCTAGTAAAAATACAAAATTAATAAAGCAAATAATGGACAATTATCTAAATAATTAATAAACAATTATTCGTACCTATTAAAAATAAGAAAAAAAATCTAAATTATTGAATTTTGTTCAACTCTCAATAGTTTTGCATTCAACTGAAAAAAAGAAAAATAGGTAAAGTTTTGTAATTCACCTCATAACCGAACGTAACAGCCATAACAGTTATGAGAAAACCAAAAAATAATTCCAGTTTTCTCAAACCGTATTTATCCAGAAATAAGAATGTAAAAGTGTCGATGATAGTGATAAGAACGCCTGCATACAACGGTATTCTAAAAGAATCACTTTGTTTTAAGTATAGTTCGGAAAAAACAATTTTATAATTAGCGCAATAAAAAAAATATATATTTCGTAATAATTACCACTTTATAACTTCCGTTTCTTTAATAATCTCCTCATCTCTCTCTTTTTTTCTTACTTAATCGACATTTTTTTTTCTACACAGTTCGCGACAATTACATTTTTAACAATTATTTTTTCTCTCTCAACTCCCCCAACATCATCTTCACTATTTTTAATTTAAATTAATCAGAAATTTTTAGGAAATTAATTTTGTTTATATCAAATTTGTAAATTAATTTTGATCAATAGAGTAGAGTTTTAAAAAATAGAGCTATTTACTATTTCAGTTTTATCTTGGAAAGAAATTTTTATTTTTCAGTTTTAAATTGAGAAAAAATGGAAAACTTCAGTTTGAAGAAAGAAAATAATGAAATAATTACCGTTTATTTGATAGAAGATAAAGAGCAATTGCAGTGCCGATAACTTCTTGCATATCGCTTCCAATTATGGCAATTTCTATCATTATCCATAATATAAGTCGCGGTACTTTTTTATATTGTCTAAAGCACATTTCGGCCAAATGTAATCCGGAAACAACGCCCAATCGGGCACTCAACCTCTGCATAACGAGGCCTAAAACTGTTGCACTAAGTAAAATCCATAATAACTGAAATTTGAAAATTGCATTTATTAACAATTTTTCTAATTACCAAGAACTTTTAAATTAAAAATTTAAAATTAAATTAAATTTAATGACAAAAATTAATTGAATTACTGCGAAGAATTTTATTGAAATTCTTTAAAATAATTAAATTCTTGCAAAAAATTCTATAAATTATAAAAACAGTTGTAATATTGCTAAGAATTTTTTCGAGAAATTGAATTGAAAATAATTGAAATCTTGGTAAGAATTTAATTAAAATTTCTTCGAAGAATTTTATTAGTTATAAAAATAATTCAATTCTCAAATATAATTTTATCCAAATTTTTCAAATTAATTAATTCTGTGAAGAATTTTATTAAAATTCTTTAAAATAATTAGATTCCAGCGAAAAATTTTATAAATTATGAAAATAAATGAAATTTTGATACAAATTTTATAAAAATTTTCGATAATAATTGAATTTTTTCGAGGAATAGAATTAAAATTGAATTGAAAATATCTTTATTCTCATAACAAATTTAATCAAAATTTTCAAAAATAGATAATTGAATTTTTGCGAGGAATTTTAATAAATTTTCAAAAATACATAATTCAATTCTTTATGAGAATATTATATTTTTTTTCAGAAAACAGAAGTAAATTATTGAAATAAAAAAAGAATAATTATGCAATTATGTATGTAAAAATTATACAATATTACATAAATATTATATTTGTTTAAAAACGGAAATAAGTGATTTAAATTCTAAAAAAAACAAAGAAAAATTCCCCGTTGCTTTCTTTTTCTTTTTTTAAAATTTATTTTCATTCGCATAAGTTTTTTCCTCATTGTTGTGACTAATCTTCTTGGAAGCGTTCTAGAATTTTAATCTACTGGCTATCAATATTCACATAAAAAATTTATGTCCCGAGTATTAATTTTTTTCAAAACTGTTTTCTTTCTGCGACTGAAAATTCATACTGAAGAACTTTTACCATTTAATTTTGAATTAATAATAATTGACAATTAACAACAAAAAAGAAGTTAATTGACTATTTATTTTACTATTCAATTATGTAATTAATATTTTAATCTTTTCACTTTTATTGTAAAAAAGGAAATATTTGATAATTTTTTTAATTCTTCTACTTTTCTATATTCAAAAAAACGAAAAATAAGTAGAAAATAAAATTTGATGAACTATAAATATTTATTTTTTAATTAATCAGTGAATTTTTTTATCTTTTTGCTTTTTTTATTCCGAAAAGACAAGAAATATGGTAAAAGTAAATTCCCATTAACTATAAAATTATATTTTTATTTAATCAATCAGTTAATTTTTTAATCTCTTCACTTTTTTTTTTATTTCAAAAAGAAGGAAAATACGATTAAAAAAATTCTCGACAACAAGGTAAAAGAAGCAGTTTATAAATAGAAGAAAGAAACGTAAATAATTGAACGTGATTTAAATTGTAAATATGATTCATTAAATGATTCGTTTTAGTATATAATAATCATAATCAAAGACCAGTAATTTGAGAAATTAACATCAATCAACATCTGGTTAGGAAATGAAAAATTAATAATAATCAGATATTTCAAAATATGTAAAATTATAAATTTTTAATAAAATACCTTATATTGTGCTACTTTTCCTGATTGTAAATCTGACTCTATATTTCCAGGGTCCAAATATGCGATGGACATTAAAAATCCTGGACCTGTGAAAGCCCATAGTGTCCTAAAGCTAAAACCGGTCTGAAAATGAATTTTTATTTATTTTAATTTCAATGTAGAAAAAATAATTCCAATATTATAATAATAATAATTATTATTATTATAATTGTTATTTATTTATTATTACAATTATTTATAAAACTTACGGTATTTCTCTCGGGGATTTTTATTTTTTCATTTGCAAAATATGTTTGGCCATTATTGGGCGAGAGTGACGTACTTTCGCCAGCTTTTGATTTTTCTTGAATTTTTGGTACCACTTCGCTCACCGTTGGCAGTCCAGTCAAATCGGAACTGCCTTCCATGTCAAAATTAAAAGTACTCGTCTAAAAAATTAAATAAATTCCATTATTAATTCACTCAATACAAAATTAATCAATTTTTTTATTAAATAAAGCAAAGCAATTAAGAAAAAAAATTGAATATTAAATAATCAATGTCAACATTTAGAAAAATATTTTCAATAACTGAAAAATAAAAGTCAAAAATATTTGGAAATATTTTTAATTAAAAAAAATCAAATTTACCTAAATTGGTAATTTATATTGAATAATATTTTAGTAAAATAGAAAAACAAAATCCACATACGAAAAAATAGAATTTTAAATCAGTTTTATTTTAAAGACGTTTGAAAAAGTTTTTTTTTACTCCATTATGTAAACCCGCATTGGCATTGTTCATTATTATTATCATTAACAAAACTTTACGTGTTTCATTTTCAATTTATAGTATTGTGAATGTATTGTTATAAACTTCTCGGATTATTCTGACATCAGCTCTGGACTTCCCGCTCAGAATTACACAATCTCTATCTATTTTATAAAACAAAAAAAAAAAAAAGGAAGACTGTTTTCCCGAAAGTCTTCAATTTCTTGATAAATAATAATAATTGTTTCTTCCTCTTTGAATCACGATCGAAAAATATTCTCCACACACTTTTTCTTTCTATTTTACAGTTTTCCTTTTTTTTAATTTCGAATTTAATTTTTCTTTAAGTTCCTCGACGTTTAAATCAAGAGAAATTACTTATGTAAATAAATTATCATTTAAGCACTAAAAATAAATTATTTAATCACTAAAAATAAATTATTTAATTACTATAAATAGATTATTATTTAATTACTCTAAATAAACTATTATTCAATTGCAATAAATAAATTGTTTTTTAATTACAATAAATTATTATTGAATAAATAAATAAATTATTTAGTAAATAAATTATCATTTAATTATTATAAATAAATAAATTATTATTTAATTATTATAAATAAATTAATTAGCAAAATTATGAATTTTTCACTTAGCGTTAATTAATAATAATGATAATGTCGATCACTCTGAGTCAGGTTATTTTTATTATTATTATTTATTATTTTATTTTATTATTTATTATATTTTATTTTAATTATTTATTATATTTTATTTTAATTATTTTAAAGTCTTGGGAAATGCAATAATTTGGAAACAAATTAGTTTTATCACTTACAGATAGAGAGACAGAGAGAGAGTAACTATAGAAAAATTTTGACTGCTTTTTTTATGAATTTGTGGAGAATTAAAATATAACACGAGTCTTTTTATAGAGAACGAGATTAAATGATTGTAATAATATTTCTCGAAAATGAGAAAGGGAAGAGGAAACTTTACTGACAACTACATTACTAAACTCTTTGCTCCCCCTTCCTTTAACTCTCTCATTTCCTAACCGACACATTCGTGTGTTCAGAATAATAACTAATGAGAGCAATCTTTCAAATCAATCAACTTATTTCCTTGTAAATTCAATTTTTTTTTTTTGCATCGATCAATAAATTTCCGTTAATTCCAAATCTTGACATGGCTTATTTGGATTTTTACCTTCTTTAAAAACAACATAAAAAATAATTCGGCGCAATCAAAGACAAGTTTTAAAAATGCTTTCAAAAACCAAGAAAAAATACCCAAAAATATTTAGAAAACGATTTTAGTCTATTTATTGAGTTTATAATTAAAGAAAATGTAAACAAAAATTCAAATTTAATTACAAGAAGGTTATTTTTGTAATTCAGAGTCATTATGGATTAACTATTTCAAGACTCTCGTTTAAATTGTCATTTATAAATAATAAATCCGAAAATCAATCAAATTGAAATTTAACAGGAAAAATAAAGAAAAAATAATAATTCTCATCTCTCGTGTAGTTCAAGGAGAAAATTTATATTTTTTTTTCTGTGTGTACATAGACTTCTGAATCAGTGCAATAAAAATCATCACGTACCCACCTATCTAGACAGAGATTAATCAATAAACAGATAAGATAAATTAGACGTGAGAAAAAAATTCGTTTCAATGAAGAATCTTTCTTTGATAAACTTGCGAATTTTAGCAAAAAACAACAGTTAAATTTAATTTAAACAATTTAAATTATTACAAAAAAAGGAAAAAATAATTTTGAATGAAAGTTTCAATATTTTTCAAAGTGCGTGAATTTTTTTTTTATTTTCTATTTTTTTACTTTCTCTCTTTGATGAATTATATCAATATTCGATTATTTTTGTTTGATCTCTATATCATTTGATATCACACGGAAGATTAAATTGACAGGTACACAAACGGATTGTATATATAAATTATTTAAGAAACAAGAAAATTAATTATAGTTTCTTGTTTTGATTTCTCAATCTGTAAAAAAACGGAAATTAAAATTTTCATAAAAATATTACCTTGAATAATGCAGAAAATTAAAATTCGGTTCAAGAAAAATTGTCAAATTTTCTAATTAAAAATATAATATTAAGAAATAATAGAAATAAATTATAAAGTTATGTCTTCAAATGAGTAACTTAAAATTCTCTTTCAAATTGTTCGTCATATATGTAAATTGTATAACACGCAATTTAGAAGCTCATAAAATAAAAAGTTTATCTTCTTAAAAAATAGGAAATAAAAGACCTTTGATTTTTTTTCTACTTTATTGTGACAGTAACGAAAAAAGTTTAAATTATGAAAATAAATAGTTCATTGGCAAAAATTGAAAAAAATCGTTTTATGAAAATTGTTTAAAAATTGAAATTAGATAGTAAAGTAAATTAGTAAATTAAATTTGTTAAGAAAAACAATGCGAGTATTTATATATTAAGCAAATATGATTCATTCTATTTTATCATGGAAAAAAGTAGCAATTTAAAGATATACAAAGTTACAAAAGAAAGCACGTGGTCAACGGCTGATAAAAAATTCGTTTACTATATATAGTAAACGAATTAAGAATGTCCGTTGACTTCTGCTTTTTAGAAAATAAATTTCTGCTTTTAAAATTATTTTTATAAAAAAAAGAAAGCAAGTACACAATGAATTTAAAAATCATACACACAATTACATAAATAATGACGATAATGACTAATTTTAGAGGTTAATTTTTCTATTCACCCTTGAACTGTTAACATTTTTTGATAAAATTCCTTTTGCATTATTCAAGATCGATATAAATACAAGCGATAAATATAAAAAAGAAAAATTAATAATCCCAAAATAAAGAAAAGGACAATATTTTGAAATACAATGAATCTTAACTATTATAACCTCTAATTGTTAAAAATTTTACTTTACCTGTTATAAATTCGAAATAATCGATTTCTCTTCTGCGGTGGTATAAAAAACAATTAATAACGAAAATTATGCACAATAACTAAAAGACAATCACAAATTGATAAATAAATTACGTTTTAAATTCATTGACATTCGTGTTTTAACAAATATCACACAATGGTGTATAAATAAAACAATGCACTTCTTTTTTCTTATCCATATGCGTCAAATAATTTTGATTTACAAATTTCTTTAAGGTATTTAACAGCTTCCTTCACTTGGTGAGATGTTCACTTCATCACACATTCTTAACATATAGATTTAACTGCATCCGTTGGATTTTTATCTTATTATCTTTTGCAATAACCAACACAAAGCTCCACGTTACCAGTGGGGAAAAAAATATAAATTGCCTTTCTCCTGCGCTGAAACTTGCGCAGTATTTACGCGCAAGAATTTAAAATTTAATGTTAACACAACTTTTTTTTATTATTTTAATCAATTATTCTCATATCACTGTCACGAGACAACAATTAAAATAAAATTAAGTAAAAAACTGCAATAGATTTCAGAACTACACTACTGTTTGTTTGTAAACAAAACGTCATTTTCCTAACCTCAAAAACTTGTAATTGAAACATTGATTTATAATATATGTCACTATATTAATAACTATTATTCAATAAATAACTTAATTATATCCTTCTAGATGAATTACAATCATATTACAGTAATAAAAGTAATTAATAATTGCTTTAATTAATTAATTTAGGTAAAAAAACGTTAGTTCCGGATTTGTCCGCAAGATATAGGTAGATGTCGCCCCGAAAAATGGCGTTTTTTGGTAGTTTTTTAGTTTTCCATGTAATTTGCCTTCGTCGAAACTAGCACTCTCATTGGCTAGATTCAAATTTGCGCGCGAACCAACAAGCCAATGAGAGTAATATAAAACATAAAGGTGCATTTCCACGTAGGTCGCTTTCATTGGCTTTTTGGTTCGCGCGCAAATTTGAATCTAGCCAATGAGAGTGCTAGTTTCGACAAAGTCGATTTACATGGAAAACTCGAAAACTACCAAAAAACACCATTTTTCGGAGCGACATCTACCTATATCTTGCGGACAAACCCGGAACTAACGTTTTTTTACCTAAATTAATTAATTAAAGCAATTATTAATTAGTTTTATTACTGGAATATGATTGTAAATCATTTAGATTAATGTAATTAAGCCATTTGTCAAGTAAGTTCATTAATATAATGCGAAATATTGTATAATGCAATAATGCGCAAGTTTGTAAACAACATAACCTCAAAAAATGACAGTTCACGTGTTTGTTTCTGTCAGAAAACAATGCGAATTCTTTTATTTTCGAAATTACTTTTCTAAGAAAATGATTGTTATTTCTAAACAAAAATATTCAGATTGAATTAAATATGAATTGTTTTAAGATTAGTTCACAAATCTAGATTTTTATTTATACTTTCATGTTTCGTTTAAAATCAAATTTTTTGTCTTTGTTTATAAATTAATTGTTTTTTTAATCAAGAAAACAAAACAACTTCGTCATTAATTATTTAGAAGTGGTTATAATAATTTGCAAAAAAGGAAGAAAAAACGTATTGTTATTGTTAGATATTTATATTTTAAAATTGATTCAAAATTTTTTCAACTTATTATAACAACTGATAATAATTAAGAAATTGTTGTATTTAATTTTAATTACATAAAAGAATAATATTTAATTTTAATATTGTAGTTTACTAATTTATTAATTACTATTAGATAATTAATATTTACAATCTACTATGTTTTAAATATAAGAGTTTTCTATTTTTTAATAAAACTTAGTGATTCCATCCAGTAATTATTTTAGTATTATTTTCAAGAAGAAAATTAAAATTCAGAATTACACTGGATAATAATAATTATTTTTTGTTTAAAAAAATAATAATGATAACAATATGAAAAGAAATTTATTTTTTAAATTAGTATTTGATTTAAATTTAATTTAATACAGTAATAATTATATGAATTAAATAACAAAAAGAAGATCGAATAAAGTAAAAAAAAGCATTATTTCTAAATTAACTAATGAATTTTAAAAAATCGGTATTTAAATTCTTAAATATCTTTAAGAGAAACGGAAAGAAAAAATAATTAGTATTGTTATAAATATAAGTCTGGGTGTGTGTAAATAAATAAATAATTAAAATACCTGAATAATCGAATGTAACTGGTGATTAAATTAAAAGACATTTTTAAAAATATCCACATTCCCCTTATTTATTTATATTTTTACAAAATACGAAAAACTGGCACTCAACACTTATGTATAAAGATAATTTATAAAATTATATTTGAAAGTAAAAAAAAATTATTTCAAATGATTGTCATTGAATAAAGTTATAATCACACGACATTCACCGGTTGTCTGTTTTTTAAATAAAAAAATTGTTATTATACAATTTAGAGATCACTTTTTGCGAAGAACTTAATTTTATCCTTAGGATTTGGAATGATCTGAAAAAAAAGAATTATTTTTATTTCCTTTCAGTTCCTTTGGTCAATTAACTTTTATTATTAGAGTTAATTTAATTCTTTTAGTTAATTAACTCAGAGTTAATTACTATTTTCAATTTAGTAACTATTTAGTATTAAATTAATATTTTCTATTTAGTTACTATTTAGCATTAAATTAATATTTTCTATTTAGTTACTATTTACTATTTAGTTATTATTTACTATTCAATTACTAATTACTAATATTTTCTATTTAGTTACTATTTAGCATTAAATTAATATTTTCTATTTAGTTACTATTTACTATTTAGTTATTATTTACTATTCAATTACAAATTACAATTAAAAAAAATTATACAAAGAAATAATTATTTAATATCTTTTTGTAATTTTACTACTTTTTGAAAATACACTTTTGAAAAAAATATTCCTTTTTATTATGAAATAGGAAAGAATAGTAAAAATTACTTACAGTATCCTGACCGGGTTTCCAACCAGCAGGACATACTTCACCATGTTCGTCTGTATATTGGAATGCTTGCACTAATCGCAATGTTTCATCAACTGATCTTCCGACCGGAAGATCGTTCATTGTTATTTGTCGAAGAACACCTTTCCCATCGATTATAAACAACGCACTAAAATTAATAATTAACATATAAATTAATTAAATTCATACACTAAAATAATTAATAAATACATTTATTTATCTCAAAGTTTTACAACTAAAAAAATTGTTTATAACAAAAACAGATTCTAAAACAAAGACTACTTAAGTCTTCTTTAAAAATTAAAAAAAAAATATTAATTATATGTGGTATTTTCGTAAAAATGAAAAATACGATTCATATTCAATATTACCGAAGTGTGTGTCCCAAATCGTCCAAATAAACTCCATAATCCTTTGCTATCTTATGTGTAAGATCGCTGAGCAACGGGATTTTAATATTTTGCAAACCACCTTCCTTACGCGGTGTATTAATCCACGCTAAATGTGTAAAATGTGAGTCGACCGATGCTGCGACAACTTGGACATTCAATTTTTTAAATTCCTCCACTCGATCCGAAAATGCCAATATTTCCGTTGGACAAACAAATGTGCTGCAAAAAAAGGAGAGAAAATATATTAATGCAAATTAAGACAAATTATTACAAATTAATAGAAATTGATACGAATTATTATTAACTAGAAAATGTTATGCGCAAAACGCGATTTCAATAATTTTCATAATTTATAACATTTTTCACTGGAATTTAATTATTTGAAACAATTTTAAAGAATTTTAATAAAATTCTTCGCACAAATGTTATTATTTTGATTATTTTGAGAAAGATCAATAAAATTCTCTATTAGAAAAAAATTTAATTAAATAATCTGAAAAAATTTAACTCTTTTCCTAAATAATAAACCTCTGGAATACAAAGATTATTAATATAGATAGAAGATAGAATTTTGATTAATACTTACAAATCTAAAGGATAAAAGAAAAATACGAGATATTTCCCACGGAAGTCAGTCAACTTAATATCATGAAATTCTCCATTAACAACTGCAGTTCCTTCCCAAAACGGTGCTGGTTTGCCAACTGTAATTGAATTAGCAAAGGATTTAAAAACAAGACTCACGATTATTAAAAATATTAATTTTACAATTATATCAGATTTCATTATAAGAAAATCTTTTTTTTCCTTTCAAAAAAAAAAGTACTAAAGCAAATTTCTTGACCCTCGTCAGTGAAAATATTTTCACTATTAAGATATTCTTGTATTCTAAACAGACACTGGATTATTGCCAAATTACTACATATTCTCAAATTAGCAGACCTTCGAGAAAAATATATTTTTAATTATACAATTTTTTGTAAATTACACAATTTATTTATTTTTAAATAGAGAAGTTTTTTATTTTTAAATAGAATTAGTTTTTTAAAATAGAAAAATTAATGTTTATCTCAAATAAACGCCAAAATTTAATTTTTTGTTGTACTTTTCAATAAAATTAATAAATAATTGTTTTAATTTAATTTAATAAATTCAATATAAGAAAAAAGTAGTTCAGATGAAATTTTATTAAAATTTCCATTTGAATGTAAAATTTATTTTATAAAATATACAGAAATTAAATTCTGTAAATTTTATCAGCGAAAACACTTGAAAATGTTTTTATCAATGGCCTTCAGAATGTTAAAATATAATCATGAAGAAGGTAAATAAGGTAAAATTATAATCAGAATAAATTATAAATTTAAAAGTAATAAAAAAAATTTTTTTTCTTTCTAAAAATACGACTAAAATTAAACTTTAATAATTTTAATATTCAATTAAAATTATTTATGATTAATTTAATTGATTGAATTTAAATCAAAACTATTTTTTCAATACTTTATTTTAATATAAATTTTAATCAAACTACGAAGAGAAAATGTTAAAATATTTTAAAATAATTTGAAGTCTTCTTGACTAATTGGTGTTAATTACGAAAAATATTAATAATAAAAGAAATTTAGAAACATTTATTCAAAATTTAAGGGATGGAAAAATAATAATTCAAAAGGTTTAAAAAATGAACAAAATTGGATGCGGTAGGAAAATAAAGGCCAAATGTCAAAATGAAGAGGCAAAATAGACGATAATAATGAATAAAGAGGAAGCGAATGATAAAATGCAATTGATTAGCATAATAACAATGATAGGATAGGAAAATGAGGAACTTACTAACTGCTTTTGTTGTTTGTAATTGATGTCCAGCATGTTTTGCACCCGCAGGATAAACTGATCCACCTGCGTAGGAGTAACAAGTTTCTTCATTAGACGCTTTAATTTCGTTTAATCCCAAAAATATGTACAATAAACATATTAAATAACTCATATTGTAGCACCACATTATTATTAATCTTATTATTTAATTTTGATTAGCATTGACTCTTCGCAATCTCTATATAAACAAATTTAAACTTTGACACATTCCACGTTTACATATATATATATACTGAAAATTTTGAGGTTAAGTTAGCCGGTAAAGAAATCTATTTTACCTACAGAGGAAATAATAAATAAATCTGTTGGCAAGCCTGGTTAATACATCGCCTGGCAGGGCTGGCACCACTGATTTAAATTTTAAAAGGAAAGAACGTAAACGTAACGGTCAAGTCAAATAATTACATTCTCGCACAGTTTTTAATTATTATTTGATATAAAATAAACGACTAGTTAAAAGGTAATCAAGTGTTATTACTGTTCATGTTTTGTTAATTGCTCCAATTGTACTTTTCCATTTGAATTTTTAAAGGAATATTTATGGAACGTAAGTTTGTTGGGGCGCAACAATGTTTATAACATAACCTATAAAAAAGTAACAACTTCTACTAATATCGAATTAATAAACTAATAATAAATAATTAGGCGGTAAATAATAAGAAAATGTCTAGTTTAGTTTATTTATGAGTAATTAACTTTATATTTCAGCGAATTTGTCTTAGATTAATTGAAAAAACATTTTATTTGAATCGAAAATTATTTTTCGACAGTGTAAAATTATTTTCAATATTTGTTTTCAATATCCAGCTAAACATTGAACACTAGGATAATGAGATCGTATTGAAACGCAACGATCACGATCTATATTGAGAGTATTTTTTCTAATAATCAATTCACTCTCTATTTCCTTCCGTGATTTAATTAGTTTATCAAGAACATCTTCGGCATTTGCTTTTTGTCCCAAAATATTAGTCACATTTTCAGCAAGTATTTTTCCACTGTCAATCAATCTGTAAACGAATTTTAATCGAATAGAAACAAATTTTCCTTTTAGTAAAAAAAAATTGTTTTATATTTCGTGATTATTATTATTAATTTAAATTTTTAACCCCATTTGAGGAATGTCACGACAATTTTCAACGGATTCACGACGTTGACGTTCATTCAAACATGTTTGAGTTAATTTCATTGCTCGATCAAAATTTCTCACATTATTATTAATTTTATCTAATAATTCCTCTGTTTTTGATATTGATCGCAGACACTGAAAGTATTTTTTTAATTAAAATAATTATTTTTCCAGCAAAATAATTATTTTTCCAATAATATAATTAATTTTTTGTGTAAATAAATTTTTTGAAGTTTAAATTTTAAATTGGAAATGAAAAATTAATAATTAGAAAATTGTAAGTTATAAATTAAAAATTAGAAATTTGTAGGTAAATTAATAATTAAAAATTGTAAATTATAAATTAATAATTAGCAAATTGTAAATTATAAATTAAAAATTAGAAAATGGTAAATTAATAATTAGAAAATTGGAAATTAGAAATTAAAAATTAGAAAATTGTAAATTAATAATTATAAATTAAAAATTAGAAACTTATGAATTAAAAGAAAAATTAAACGATAATTACCTCCGTCAAATTGTTTTCAAGTTGAATGCATTTTTTAATTGTTTCGTTAATTTTTTCATCTAATACGAAATCAATTTTATTCGCTTGACCACGAAGATCGTTAGCTGACGATTCGTGAATATTTTTCATATTTGTGCGTAAAATTTGAGATTTTTGTAGAGTATTTTGACTCTGGATGATTGATTCTTTGAAAAATTGTTCGTAACTCACCGTCGATGATTGACTGTAAAATATATTTTTCCCTTTTTAGTAAGAAAAATGAAAAAACAAAATTATATTATAAATAATAGAAAAAAAATATATTAAATATTTAATAAATAACAATTTATTTAATACAATATTTATCGAAATATTTGTTTGTTAAACGATCAAATTGCAAAACATTTATTAAATATTAAATATATTAGAAAATATAATTTAATTAAATGTAAATTAATTTAACTATATTAAAACTATAAATTAATTTAACTACATTAAAAATATAAATTATTAAATATATTAAATAATATAATTTATTATTAATTTAATTATCACTCGAACGAAAAAAGGATATCAAAAATAAAGAAATAGAAAACTTGAAAGGACAATATTTTGCTAAAAAAATAATTGTTAAATCGTTATTTAGAATTTTTCAAATTGTATTTTAAAAATATTAATTATTTATTAATTATTTATTAATTAACATTATTTTTATTTTCATTTTGATTTGATTTCTATTGTTTTAGGTAAAATCATGTCTCTCACGTACTTTTGTGGCAATCGAATGGATCCAGGATACAATAAAATATTCGAGAAAGTAATTTTCGAGCCAATACAATTTGTGTCAATTTCGAAAGAATTTTCCTTCCTGGACCAATCGCATTCGAGTCTCTCCTTCGAGTCCTTCAATTCTTGAATTTGAAGATTCAAATGATTTTTACATCGTTTATAAATATGTGAAATCTCCTCAGAAACAATTGATTCCTGCGTGATAAAATTAAATTTTCAATTTTGAAAAACAAAATCAGGTTTGTAAAATTAGTTTTTCAATTTAATTATTTTTTTTCTTATTTAATTTATCTAATTATAAATGTACTTTAATTATTTCTTCATCGACTTGATCGTGAACGAGTTCAGATTCCTTTCGCAAACATCGAATTGATTTTGTTTCGTTATTAATTGACTTGACTAATTGAAGGGCATGAGATGATTTTTCCAAACGCTTCTTTTCGTTAATTAGTAAATTTATCTCTGAATTTTGATCGGAAATATTTCTTTCTAATTCCAATTTCCATTTAAAGACAATGCCGGTCCTTTCACGTAATTTCATCTTATTGCATAAAGAATCACTATCGAATTTTGCGAAAGAATTTTCCATTGATTTCAGAGCCATGAAGGATAATAATCTAAAAGAAAATCACGACTGCAGTTTAAATAACTTCAATTTAATTATATTTTAGAAATATAAATAAACGACCCGAAAAAAAGTATTGCTTTTAAGGAAATAATTTTTTCTGTATTTATTTTATATTATTTTTAACGTAATAATTGATAATTTCATAAACTTAATAATATATTTAATCATCTGTAAATTTTTTCTATTTTTTTTTTTATTGCAAATACCTGCGAAGAATTTTATTAAAAATTTTTAAAATAATTGAATTTTTTGTACGAGAAATTTAATTAAAATTGTATTCAAAATAATTGAATTCCCAAACAGTAGAATTTTTTCATTTATTAAAATAATTGAATTTTTGCGAAGAATTTTAACAAAACTCTTTAAAATAATTAAATTCCTGCCGAAAATTTAATTATTTACAAAACTAATAAATTGAATTCTTTTTAGAAATTTTATAAACAATTGATTTAAAAAAATTGAATTCCTGTGAATAATTTTCTTTAAATTTAGAAAAATAATTAAATTTTTTCCTAGAATTATTTTGAAAGTATTTTATTAAAATTTGTGAAAATAATTTAATCTTTTCAAAAATTTATTTAAAATTGTATTCAAAATAATTAAATTTCCCTAAAGAATGTTTTCCATTTATAAAAATAATTGAATTTTTGCAAAAAATTTCATTAAAGTGATTGAAAATAATTAATTTTGGACATAGAATTTGTTTTATTTATGAAAGTAATTAATTTTTTTGAAAATAATTTAAATTCCTTGACATGAATTTTATTATTTACAAAAACAAAAAATAATTAATTTTTTTCCAGAAAATTTTATTAAAATTGTGAAGAATTTTATTATATTTTCAAAAACAATTGAATTCTTTTAAAGAATTTTATTAGATTTTTTGGAAAGTAATTAAATTCCTATTAAAAATTGAATTAAAATTGTATTCAAAATAATTGAATTCGCGTGAAGAATTTTATTAAAATTAAATATTTAAATTAAATAAACGAACCGGAAAAAAGAAGTCTTTGTTGTTTTGAAATTAATAATTTCATTAATTTAATAATTTATTTAAAATTTAACTTAATAATCATATTTGAATAAAATTATATTAATTACGATGCATTATTGAAATTTTCTTGATTCGATTTAAGTAAATTTTCGAATTTTGTTTTGTTTTCTTCAGGACTGAATCGTGACTGAGAGTATTTATCGACATTTGGTCGTGTTCCTGAAATTGATGCCAAAGATGTCCAATAATCGAAGGGAACTGTTTTCGAAATTGGCCCTAAAGGTGGTGGAGACAAAACATTCGGTATGAGAGGACATTTAACTTCTGTTGTTGTTTTTCTATTTTCCTAGAATTCAGAATTTTCTTTAATTTTCTTTACGATTTATTCTTTCGTGATTTATTTATTTTTTTACCATTTATTCTTTATTAATTTTTATTTTCTAACAATTTCTTACTTTTATTATAATTTGTACATAATTGTTGTTATTTTTATTAACGTTTTCTCGCCCGCAAAACAATTTTTACCCTTTTACCATTTTAACCATTAATTTTTAAAAATTAAAAATTAAACAAATTTTGTTTGTACCATTTTTTACATTTTAAAAAATTTTTGTTAATTAAAAAAATTGTATTCCCTTTTTTTCAAAATTGTTTACCTCATCTTTAAATTTTTCCGCTGTAATTTCATTCTGCTGTTTACTTTGAAATTTTGTGGGAAAATATTCTTTAATTTGATTTTCTTTTTTTGAAATTTTCTTATTAAAGAAAAAAATTGGTTCCGATTTGGGATGAATTTTAATCTCTCGAGTTTGAGTTCCCTCCGGCATGATGATTATATTTTTATAATTAAAAAAGAAAAGAGAAGAAGAAAACAAACCTAAAATAGAAAAACTGTGACATTTGCCACTTATATTGAAAAAAACAAGTGAATATTCTTTTTTCTGTTTTATTTTTGTATTTTTTTTTACTATAAAACTGACAAAATTCTGCAAAATTCTTTTCGATAAATCATTCTTTTTAAATTTTCATTTTATATTCTGTCCCAAAATTTCGGTTGTTGATGGATAGAATGATCGAAGAACTAGTCCACGATCTCGATCGATGTACAAAGATTTTCGCTTAACAATTATTTCTTTTTCCAAATTACTTCTTGACTTCACTAAACCAGCTTGTGCATCTTCGGCTCTTCTCAATTTAATCATCAACTTCGATATACTCTCTCCTAGATTTTTCACTTCCTCAATGAGTCTGCAATGATATTAAATTTCAAGTCAAAAAATTTATTTAAATTTACTTTTCACAATAGAAAAAGTAATAGAAAAGTATTATTCGAATTTTTGAATGTATTTCTTTTTGCTATTGAATTTTTGAATGTATTTTTTTATTTCTTTTTTCTGTAAAGAAAATAGAAAATATTGTTTGAATTTTTGAATGTTTTTTTATTTCGTTTCTCAGTAAAGAAAATAGAAAAATAAATTGTATCTAATTTTTTGAATGAAAAAAAAAAGAAATCTAAATAATGGTAAGAAAAAAATTATAAATTACAAAAATAAATTCAATTAACCCATATTGTGGAATATCTCGGCAATTTTCGACATTCCGCCGTTGAAGACGTGTCGATAGACGACTTTGTGCTACTTTTAAAGCATCATTTAAACTTTTTGTCGATCCTCGAAGTTCTACAATTAAATTCTCAGTAATTGTGAGCTCCTGTAAGCACTTGAAAAAATTTATAATATAAAATTTTAGTTTTCTAAAAATGGAAAATATTATTTATAAATTTTTGTTAAAATAATTTGTTTTGTAAAAAGTGAAAATAATTTTAATAATATATTTTTTTCTTATTTTTGCAGCTTTCTACCTTGAGAAGTTCTTTTTCCAAATTTTGACAAACTTGTTCAGTGAGAGTAATTTTCTCGCCCAATGCTGAATTCACCCGATTCGATTGCATTCGAAGATCTTTCAATGAATTGGAATAATTGACATTCAAAGTGGATCGCAAATTTATGGAACGTTGTCTTGAATTCTCAGCTACTGTTAAATTTTCCTTTGTGAAATTATCGTAATCCTCGGGTGTTATTTGACTGACAGGAGAATTTTAAAAAGAAAAAGGTATGAATTTTTATAATTTTTTGCAACAAAATTTGCTTTATTATTACTATACTTAATGTAGAATTATATTAAATTATTATAATTAATAATTATTATTTAATATAGTAATGATAATAATATTATTATTAATAATAATATAGAATAATCAGATTAGCTGACTGATAACAATTTTATTAACTTATTCAGTTTTCTTAAATTTGATAAAGTTTACAACTTTCACGATCAATATATTAGAAGATAAAATATTTTTCAAATCAAATTTTTATTCATTTTCATCTGTAAAATTTGTTTTATTTCTTTATTGTAAATTCCTGCGAAGAAATTTATTAAAAGTTTTAAAAATGAATTCTATAGTCGAGAAATTTTATTAAAAATTTTTTAAACTATAATTAAAATAAAGTCTTTTTAGATATTTAATTAAAATTAGTATGTATTCAAAATAATTGAATTTCCGTGAAGAATTTTATTAGAATGTTTCTAAATAATTTAATTCTTGCTAAGAATTTTATTATTTACAAAAATAATCGAATTCTTTCAAGAAATTCTTTTAAAATTTGTAGGTAGAAAAATTTAATTCTTGAGAAGAATTTTCTTTATATATAAAAATAATTAAATGTTTACCCAGAATTATTCCGAAGTATTTTTTTGCAATTTTTAAAAATAATTTAATCTTTTCAAAAATTTATTTAAAATTGTGTTCAAAATAATTGAATTTTTGCCAAGAATTTTGTTAAAATGATTGAAAATAATTAATTTCGGATATAGAATTTCTTTTATATTTATTGAAGTAATTAATATTTTGAAAGTAATTTGAATTTTTGACATAAATTTTATTATTTTCAAAAATAATTGAATTGCTTAGAAGAATTTTATTAAAATTTAAAAAAAAATTGAATTCTTATAAAGAATATTACCAAATTTGTGAAAATAATTAAAAACTTTCCAAAAAATTTTTGCGACGAATTTTAGTTATAAAAATAAAATTTCCAAATTTTTTATCAAGATTTTTAAAAATAATTCAAATTTTTGCGATAAATTTTATAAATTATGAAAATTATTGAAATATTGCTAAGAATTTCATTAACATTTCTGAAAATAATTGAATTTTTTTCGAGGAATTTAATTAAAATTGTATTGAAAATATTTCAATTCTCATAAAAAGTGTAGGTAATGAAAATTTTTCAAAATAATTGAATTCTTTGCGACGAATTTTAATTAATTAAATTTAATTGAAATTGTTATTAAAATAATTGAATTCTCGTGAAGAAGAATTTTCTTCATTTACAAAAATAATTGAATTTTTGGAAAGAATTTTATTAAAATGTTTCAAAATTTATAATTTCGTGCAAAGAATTTTTTTATTTATGATAATAATTGAATTTTTGCTACGAATTATTATTATTATTATTATTTTAGAATTATTTCAAAATATTTTATTGAAATTTTTAAAAATAATTGAATTTCAGAAACTGAATCTCAGAAATTTATTTAAAATTTGTATTCAAAATAATTGAATTTTCCTAAAAAATTTTTTCCGCATTTATAAAAATAATTGAATTTTTGCAAATAATTTCATTAAAATGATTGAAAATAATTTAATTTTTTCTTGAAATTAAATTAAAATTGTATGCAAAATAATTAAATTCATTCGAGGAATGTATTTAAAATTTTTTTGAAAATAATTGAAGTCTCATAAAAAATTATATGAAAAATTTTTTGAAAATATATTTTTGCGAGTAATTTTATTAAAATTGTTTTGAAAATAATTGAATTGATATACGAAGAATTTTACTAAAATTTATTTTTCAAAATAATTGATTTCTTTCTATAAACTCTATTAAAATTATATTGAAAGTAATAATTGAATTCTTATAAAGTACTTTATCAAAATTTTTGAAAATAATTAATCAAGAATTTCATGAAAATTATTGAAAATAATCAATTACTCAGTTAATAAGTACGAATGTATTTAAATCTTGCTAGTTGTTTATAAAAGTTGTAAACTTGGCCATAAGGTTTATTGTTATTAGATATATTTTGAACTAACTTAGCGGGAACTCTAGTGACACCATCTTTGAACATAATTAAAGAAGACGAATTTTTCAGGCCCAAACAATAAGCATCAATATCATAAGTATCAGCTTTATCCGTCCAATCTGATTCCATTCGATTCTTAAAACTTCTGAGTTCAAGTAATTGCTCTTCAATGTCTTCTTTACTTTTTTCGAGAAATTTTCTCACCTCCCAACAGAGTGCTAATTCCTTTAAAACAAAAAATTCTATTACAGTATAATAATAATAAATAATTTTAAGGATCAACAGAGAGCTAATTCCTTAAAAAAAATTCTATTATAGTAATAATAATACATAATTTTAAGGACTACAAAGCTTCCTCCACGAGGAAGCAAAGTAAAAGAAAATAATAATTATAGTATAATAGTAGTGATAGTATTAATAATAATATCAGTATTATCAATTTAAACAAAAAAATATGAAATTTTGAAACTATATTATTGTATATATTAAATTTTCAGCGATGGAGAAATATCCTTCAGCTCTGCACCTTTACTAATTCCGCTTCAACATCGTCTTTCACGAGATCCGGCTCAAGTCTAGTGGAACGAAGCTGCAAGAACTCAGCAGCAATTGATTCGGGTATCGTGAGAACTGACAGAGACTGCTGGACACGACGTCGCTCCCCATCTTGCAATTCAATTTCCTGAGTTATGTCAAGAAGGGCTCGCTCCAATTCCGTTTTCCATCGATGAACAATACCCGCTCGTACACTGAGCCGATCTCTATTTTCCAGTTGGCTCTTATCAGTTTCTTTATAAATCTCCTCTTTTGATTGTCGGGCATCCGATCTTATTATTCTGCGCATATAGAAAACAATTTTCTCCGTTCATCTTATTTTCAAGGTAAGCAAAAATATACATAAACTTTAGTTCATTTCGAATTAACTTCAAAATTTTAAATTAATTTTGAATTATAGTTTAAAATTAATTGCAAATTTAATTCACTGGTTTAGTTGAATAATTAAGGATCAAGTAACTCGTCCGTTTGGTATTAGCGCGTGCGTCCGAACGTTGAGCGAGTTATTTGATCCAGAGCCTTAATTTAATCCTCCTGCTTATACGTTTCCACTAAAAAAAAAAAAATTTATCAATTTTTTTAAATCAAAATGATTGAATGATTATTTTAAATGAGAATTTAGTTATCCTGTTTTTTTAAACAAAAATGATTGGAAGATTATACTCGGCTTTATTTTATGCGCAGGAGAGTTAATTTAATTTAATAAGTTTATTCAATAATTTAGTTTAATTTCAGTTTTAAAGTAGAACAAGAAGAGGATTTAGTTTAGATTTTAGATAAAAGCATTGAAAGCTAAAAGATTTTTTTTCGATACAAACTGAGCTTCTCGAATTTTCTCGGTGGACTCGTTGAAAAATGTTTGATTATGAGCTCGCCATTCGCCGGGACTGTAACGAGTTATTGAGTAGCGATCGACTACGGGACGTACTCCCGTCATTCCACTGTGGGGACTGTATGTCACGCAACCTGTCGCCCAAGGTCCAATTGGTTCCATGGGACCTTCACTTTTCACGGGATGTTTATCTTCTTGTTGAGGAAAATACGGAGGATTTTCTCCAATTTCGTGGTGTTCCTTCAAAGCATTCGTCATTGGAGGAGATTTCTCCTCCGTCTAGAGAGAGGGAGAAATATTATTAAAATACATCTTGCTATATATATTTACAAACTATAAATAATTTTCTGCAATTTCGAAGCATTTCTAGAAATTTTTACTGTACTTTCCAAAGTCAAATTTATTGATTTTTGCGTGGGTTTTTCAAATTTCTATTCAAATTTACTATTTTAATAGAAATTTATTATCTAATTTTTATTAAAATTTACGAATAGTTAATATAAATTTCTAATTTGTAGTAAAATTTATAAATTTTTAGAGAATTTTTTAAATTTTTTAAAGAATTACAAATTTTTACTGTAATTTTTTAATTTTTATTAACATTTACCAACTTTTATTGTAAATTTCTAATTTCTAGTAAAATTAATGAATTTCTACAGAATTTTCTAATTTTTTTTAGATTTACGAATTTTTATTAAAATTTAGGAATTGTTAATATTAATTTCTAATTTATAGTACAATTTATAAATTTTTTAAAGAGTTACAAATTTTTACTGTAGTTATCTAATTTTTATTAAAATTTACGAATATTTAATATAAATTTCTAATTTCTAGTAAAATTAATGAATTTCTACAGAATTTTCTAATTTTTTAAAGAGTTACAAATTTTTACTGTAATTTTTTAATTTTTATTAACATTTACTAACTTTTATTGTAAATTTCTAATTTCTAGTAAAATTGATGAATTTTTACAGAATTTTCTAATTTTTTAAAGAGTTACTAATTTTTACTATAATTTTCTAATATTTATTAAAATTTAGGAATTGTTAATATAAATTTCTAATTTGTAGTAAAGTTTATAAATTTTGAGAGAATTTTTTAATTTTTTTAAAGAGTTACAAATTTTGACTGTAATTTTTTAACTTTTATTAACATTTACTAACTTTTATTGTAAAATTCTAATTTCTAGTAAAATTTATGAATTTTTACAGAATTTTCTAATTTTTTTAAAAGTTACTAATTTTTATTCTAATTTTTAAAAAATTTTTTGTACATTTCTATTTTCTAGTAAAATTGACTATTTTTTACTATATTTTTCTATAATTTTAATTACAATTGACTAATTGTTACTATAAATTTTTAATTTCTAAAAAATTTGATAATTTCTACTTAAAATTGGATAATTTCTCCAGATTTTCTAGTCTTTCTTAAAAGTTACAAATTTTTATTAAATGATTTTTTAATTATCAACAAAATTCACTAAATTTTACTACAATTTTTTAATTTTTATTAATTCTATAAAAATGTACTAATTTTTTTTTTTTACTTTAATTTTTGTATTTTGTTTAAAAGTTTAATAATTATTATTATAAATTTCTACATATCTACTAAAATTTACAAATTTTTACTATATTATTCTAATTTTAAATTAAATTTACTTGTTATTCATATAAATTTCTTATTTTTACCAAAAATTTACGATTTGTTACTTTAAATTTCTAAAATTCATCAATTTTTACTATATTTTCCACTATCTATTTAAATTTACTAATTGTTACTATAAATCTCTAATTTCTACTAGAAATTGCTAATTTTTTCAGAAGCTTCTAATTTTTATTCAAAAATACAAAGTTTTACTATTATTTTCTAATTTTTATTAAAAATTAATAATTTTTCTTTGTCTATTATTTTTCAATTGCTTTTAAAAGTTACTACTTTTGATTCTTTTTTTTCTATTGAAAATTAATACTTTGTACTGTAATTAAATTTACTATAGTTGTTATAATTTTTTTAGTTTTCGTTACAATTTTCATTAATTTTCATTAAATCTCTTTTATTTTTTTCAATTTTTCTAATTTTGACTAAAATATACTTTGTAAATTGTAAATTTTTCTCGTAAAATATAGTAAAAAATGTCAAGAGCAGAAATGCGTTGAAATTGCAGATATTTAAAAAAAATTTAAATTCTATAATTAATTTAATTAACAGTAAATATTTATTTTCTACGATTAGAAAGATTAGAAAGGTAAAAGAAAATACTAAGAAATATTTCGAATCAAGAGTATTTCCTTTCACATTTCTACATATTTTCCAAAAATCGAAAGAAATAATTATTCACCAATATTTGCGGAAAAAGAATATTTAATAATTAAATTCATTGTTAATTGAATAATTAATTTAAATACAAATATTATTTTTCAAAAATTGCCAGTCACTTTTTATCTTGAACTCACTTTTAATTCTTGAGAATCAGTGGAAGAATATTTTGCTTCTCGACTGTCGTTGGCAATTCTACTTGGTTCATTTAGTGAACATCTTTCATCAAGATTCGCTCTCTGAAGCATTGTGAGATTTTTCGTATTTCTTCTTGTAAAACTGTTCGATCTCTGTGCGTATAGAAACAAAAATGATTGTATGTAAAAGTTTCTTCACTCCAGAGAAAACAAACTTGATTAACTCACCTGGAGGATATGGCTTTTTCCGTGAGATTGGAAGGGCTGTTTCCTAGGTGCTAACATTGTAGGTGAATTCAACAATGAATTTATCGATCTGATGCGTGGAGGAAGACAAGCGAGAGGAGAATTTATTTACAAATGAGAAAAAAAAGTGTGGGTGTTTTTCTTTTGACTTTTAGATTTTGAGGTTCAAAAACTAGACTCATTTCACTTCTGTATATTTTTTGGGGAACTTTTCGAAATATTTCTGATACTAAAAAATTGTTCTGTCAATTGTTTTTTTTTTTTTTTTTGTTTTTGGTTGCCACAAGTCAGGAAATGTCAGGAAATTCCAGGAATAGTCAGAGAAAATAGAATTGGTTTGGGAAATCAGGGAAAAGTCAGGGATTTTTATTAAAAGAAATGGAAGGAATTAAATTTTTAGAATACGAAAATTCTGAATTTTTGGGTCTTTTTGTGAAATGTAATTGAATTCTTGCAAAATATGTTTGAAAATAATTACACGTTTCGAGGAATTCACTTAAAATTGTATTAAAAATAATTTAAATCCTAGGAAAAATTTTATTATTTATGATAATAATTGAATTCTTACCAACGAATTTTATTTCATTTTTTTAAATAATTGATTTGATGTGAAACATTGTATTATACTTATAAAAATAATTGAATTCTTGTGATGGATTTTATTAAAATTTTTGTAAATAATTTTTTTTTTTTGAAAAATGTTTTATAATTATATTCTTAAAAGTTATTGAATTTCAAAAGGTTTAAGTTTGAATTTTTTGCAAATCTTAATTCCTGAGGAAAAATAATAATGATTAAATATTTATTCAAAAATGAAGTTATTAATGCTTTTTAATAATTTTCTAATTAAAAATATTCGTAAATAAATGTAATAGAAAATTTTTTTTGAGTATCTAATAATTTTGAGAGTGAATCAGAATATTCTTTAGGGTCGCAGGGAAAAAGGTAAAATTTTTGTCTGGAAATCAAGGAAAAGTTAGGGAAAAACAAAATTAAATTTTTGTGGCAACCCTGAATATTTTTCTAAATACTATCTTTGCTTTTGGAAATTGATAAAAGAAAATTAGTAAAATTTCTGTGCAAGATAATAATAATAGAAATAGTATGTTATTGTTATTTTTTTTTGATTCGCAGTAAATGGAGATTTAGCCGTAGGATTTCTTATCGACTGAAGCGATGGGGGTGTGTGTGGAATTGTAACGATAAGGGGTGGTTCCAGGGGGATGAGAAAGCTGTTCAATCCTAAATCCTCGAACGTTGGCCGTGGTCGAGTGGACCCGATCGTGCCTGACAAGGTGGTCAGAAGGCCTCGTTGAGTTTGTTCAAGCGAACGACCGGGCTCAACTGAATACACACACCCACCAACCAAACTGTACGTTTGGCCAAATCCCCTTAATCATCAGACCGCCGATCTACCGTCAGTGGTTCACCACCTTTCCTATTGTTTCACTTTCGAAACATCAGAGAGCGAAACCATTAAACGAATCTGTCAAACTTGACTGGAAAAATACGTTCAATAGTTTTCATGATAGCTATAGCGATATCAAAGTATAATTTTCATTTTCACGATAAAAGATATTTATCACTTATTATTTTTATTAGGCAAATTAAACAATTTTTTTCTTTTCAAATTCCAATTTCGCAATAATTTCAGATTCAAAAATTTAAAACATTCAATTATCAACTAATTTACTAATTAATTATAATTATTTATTGCTTATTTTCAATACAATCTCAATAAAATTTTTCAAAAGAATTAAATTATTTTTCAATATTTGAAAAAATTCGTCGCAAAAGTTAAATTATTTTCAAAAAAATGCGATTAAATTTTTTAGGAGAATTGAAATATTTTCCATACAATTTTGATTAAATTTCTCAAAAAACTTGAATTATTTTCGCTAATTTTAATCAAAAATAGTAAAAAGGAAAGCAAAAGAAAATATATTTTACAGGAGAAAATTTTTGTGATTATATTTTAAAATTGTAAAAAAGAAATGAAAATGTCATTATATTCAAAAATAGTATAGAAAATAAAATAAAGATTGAATTCTAATATTTTTTTTTTTATTTTACAGATGAGGAAAAAAATGTGCGTCCCTGATGAGAAATTTGATCGAGAATCGACGTTATATATATACGAGACATTGTTTGGCGAAAGAGGCATGGCCATTCCAGGTTTTCAACCCTTAAATCCTTGACGATTGTCGCATTTCTCCTCGAATGGGGAATTGGTAGACGCGAGATAGAAAGAGGTAATGGAAAGAGGATTCCGTTTTTCAACGAAGCGACATGCAGTAAACCATTAGCTCGTGTAAATGCTACTTTATGATTCGTATGGAATTCCTCCCAGAGTGTCAGGGACGCAATTGAAAACAGGAATATGGAAGAATTTTCAATGTTTTCAAACCAATTTGATTTTTAACGGTAAGTAAATAAATTATATAAGGCAGAATTAAATGAGCGCAATTAGATTTTTTATATAAATTTTGGATCAAATTGAATAAATTAATATTATCAGTTTGTTTACTTCTTGGTTGAGATTTCCATTTCAGGTGCAATGCAACAGGCATTAATGTCATCAATTATTCTTCATTTTAATTATAAATTCCTTCGAATAATTTAATTATTTTCATTTTTTATAGAATTCTTTATAAGAATTAAATTATTTTCAATACAATTGTTTAGAAAAATATTAAAAATTGTTGCAGTTTCCGAAGTATTTTAATATTTAATGTTTATAAAGAATTATATTAAAATTATATTGACAGTAATTGAATTCTTGATAATAATTTTATCAAATTTTTTTTTAAATGAATTAAATTCTTTTGAAGGATTGTATTAAAATTTTCCAAATTAGTTGAATTCTTTCCAGAAATTTTATTAGAATTTTTTTAAATAATTCAATTTTCACGAGAAATTTTATAAAAAGGTTATATTATATTATAAAATATTTTAATAAAACGATAGAAAATAATTTAATTTTTGCGAGGAATTTTTTTATTTATATCAAAATAATTGAATTCTGGTTAATAATTATATAAAAGTTTTTGAAATGAATTAAATTCTTTTGAATCATTTTATTAAAAATTTTAGAAATAATTTAATTCTTTCCAGAAATTTTATTAGAATTTTTGAAAATCATTCAATTTTCACGAGAAATTTTATAAAAAAGGTTTAAAATTTTTTAATTCTTTCGAGAAATTGAACTAAAACTGTGTTAACAATAATTGAATTGTTGGGAAGAATTATTTTTACAATTTTTGAACTTAATTGAATTGTTTAAAAGGAATTTTACTAAAAGTGTTTTAAAAATATAATAATTTTTGAACATAATTGAATTGTTGAAAAGAATTTTATTAAAATGTCTGAATAAATATAACTGAATTCTCACTAGAGAATTTTATAAAAAGTCTTGGAAATCCGAAATTCAATTATTTTCAAAAATTTTAATAATACCTTCTTGGCAAAATTTCAATTATTTTCAAAAATTTTACTCAAATTAATGATTTTCAATATAGTTACTGTTTTAATAAAATTTTCCAGAAGAATTCAATTATTTAACAAAACTTTTAATAAATATTCTACGCAATAACATTTCATTATTTTCATGAATAATAAAATTTTCACAGGGATACAATTTTTATAAATTTCTGCGCAATAATTCAATTATTTTCAAAAGTATTAAAATTCTTTGCAGAAATTCAATTCTGCACAAAAATTAAAACAAATTCTCGTCAAAATGTCAATTATCTTTATAAATAATCAACAAATATTAATTATTTTCTAAAAACTGTTCTCAATTCAATGAATTTCAATATCTACTATTTTAATAATAATTTCCAAAAGAATTCAATTATTTAAGAGAAAATTTAATAAAATTCTATATACACAAACATTCAATTATTTTCATAAATACTAAAAATTTCACAGTGTAATAAAATTCATTGCAGAATTTCAATTATTTTTAATACAATTTTAATCAAGTTCCTCGAAAAATATAATTATTCTTAAAAATTTTATTAAAATTTGTCAAAAGAATTCAATTATTTTCACAAATAATAAAATTGTTAATTCTGGAATTCCAATTATTTAAAAAATTTTAACAAAATTTTTCGCAAAAATCCAATTATTTTCCTAAATATTAAAATTCTTGTCAGGGATTCAATTATTTTTATAAATATAATAAAATTCTTTTAAGGAATTCGATTATTTTCGTAAATAATAAAACTATAATGGCAGAATTTTGAATAAAATTGTAATCAAATTTCTCGAAAAATGTAATTATTCTTAAAAATTTTATTACAATTCGAATTGTAATAAAATTTTTAATAGTCATAAGAATTCAATTATTTATAAATTTGTTGATAACATATATTCTTTATGAGAATTCAATTTCAAGAAACATTCAATTATTCAATAAATTATTTATTTTTGTATATTTAAATAATTGAATTCTCGTAGAATTTTCTGATAAAAATTTTTATTTAAAAATGAATTTCAGTCAAAATTTTAGATCAAAATTGAATATTAAAATCATTATATAGAATGCATTTTTAGAAATAATTGAATTTTGAAAAGGTTTCATCTTATTTCTTCATGTTTTATAATAATAGTTGAATTTCGAAAAGGTTTGAATTTGAATCTTTTGAAGAATTTTAATTCCTGTGGAAAAATAATAATGATTAAATATTTATTTAAAAAAGGAGTTATTGATGTTTTTGAATAATTTTACAATTAAAAAAATTTGTAAATAAATTTAATAGAACCTTTTTCTTCAGCATCTAATAATTTTTAGAGTGATGAATCATAATATTTTTTAGGGTCAGGGAAAAAGTCAAAATTTTATCTGGAAATCAGGGGAAAGGCAGGGAAAAAACAGAATTAAATTTTTGTGGCAACCCTGATTAAAATTTATATTTTCTTTTTATTTACATATTTAGGTTATTGATCTAAATTTACATTAATTAGTTTATTGAACTAAATTTATATTTAGTTTATTGAACTAAATTTACATTTAGTTTATTCAACTAAATTTACATTTAGTTTATTCAACTAAATATTTATTATTAATTTAAATAATTGAAATTACGTGAATTATCCTGAAATTAATATTATATATTTACAGGTACAGAAGATTAATTGCCCGGCGTTTGGAAAGGAGAAAAAACTATATGAAGTCATTAACAAGATGACTTCTGACATAAAATGGATGGTCACCATATCAGTCTCAAAGTCTGACGCTTAATCACCATCCTCCTTATTTCCGGATGAGTTATGTACAACGAATAACAGACCAGTTTGCGGGGTGAGATCGACATGGGTTTTTCGCTGGCGGCGGTTAGTCGGCCGCATCACCCGGAGAAGCAAGAGATCGAGAGAGAGAAAGAGAAAGAGAGAGAGTCCTGGGGATTTCGACAGGATGGAAGGCGTGCCGAGTGGAGAAGCCACACCCAACAACCCCTTCGAAAGCGGAAGTGAGTACGAGGGTGGAGTCTACCAATGACATAGTGGTGTCGTGGAGCCGAGTCAGCTGACAACCTGGCCTTGGAGCCGCCCCCGTGGCTAACTAACAAGCTCCACGATGACGAGTGCGGCAGCCACTCGGCCAGCAAGTCCTCTCGCTCACTCCCCCTCTTTAAAAGAGCCATTCTCCAAAGGTGTTACATGTCGTTGCGTTACGCCGGGGATCGCATGTCGTTACAATAGCGACTTGTCGATGTGTGCCCCCGTCTTCTGCTCTCAAAAATCACACATACACACAGTAACAGGAGCAGCAGCAGCAGCATCTTTGCAGAGTTTACTTGCAATTGTATCCGATGGGAGTGCACACAAATGCAGCATTTGCCACATTTCTACGTGTTCACCACCCCTCAACGTTGCTAGCCGCGTCAAGATCTACGGCCAGGATACCAGGGAGAATTGGCCGGGACACTGCGAGTTCCTGCAACTGGAAGGCAACCGCCAGTCTGGGGATGTTCGACTTTTGATCGGGCGCGGAGAATGGGCACAGGTCAGTCGACTTGAGTATTTCAATTTACTATATACCCAAATTCTTCTTTTTTCAATCTTTCAAAATTTCTACTATTTATACTGTTTTGTGAATTTAAAAGAAAAAACGCGAGTGAATTCTGTGCGCAAACAAAATTATGATTCAGTATTTCACAGAAATTTATCAAACTATTGGAAATGTTCGGTGGTGATTTATCCAAGACAAGTGGTGTGTATAGTGATTTCAATTTTTTTTAAAGAATATTGGACCCGATTGATTCTTTATCGATATTTTTGGTGGTTTTTGGAAACTTGCTCCTATGAGATAAGGAAGATTAGGAATTTTTTTATTTATCAAAATCTTAATGAGAGACTTCGACTATATTTTTAACTGGGCGATTTAAATCTTCGATAAAATTATTTTTATAGTCAATTTTTGAGAGGAAATCAATGGTCAGAAAATATTCTTGACCATTTTTTAGATTTTTATTTTTCTTCAAAATTGATGGCTTTTTAAAATCCATCCATAATTTTGCAAAAAATATGTTTTTGTTATTTTTTTACAAAAAAGTGCAAAATAAAAAATTGATTTTTACAATTTTTGAAGCATTGTTTTGAAAAAAAATATTGTTTTTAGGTTGAAAATACTAAAACAAAAACCATTGTTATGTAATTTTTTTCTATGGAAATTCACTTGTTTATTTTTCTAACAAATTTCAAATCATAATTTTTTAAAATAAAAAATATAAAATATAAAAAAGTTTTGATAAAATTATATGATTTGAAATTAGAAAAAAAGTGAGAAAAAAACAAGTAAATTTCCATATAAAAAAATTGTATAATACTTAGTGGTATTTTTTATCAATTTCAATCTAAAAACAATGTTTTTTTTTCAAAAAAGATAAAAATCGATTTTTTCATTCGGCACTTGTTTGTAAATGCAAAAACATATTTTCTACAAAACTACGGATAGATTTTAAAATCTATCAATTTTTAAAGAAAAATAAAAATCCAAAAAAGATCAGAATATTTTCTGAACATTAATTTCCTCTCAAAAAATACTAAAAAAAAAATTTTGTGGAAGATTTAAATCATTTTCTTGATTAGGCAAAAAAGTTTAAAAATCATTGAATTTTTGTGAAGTGGTTATAAAAAAAGTTTGAAAATAATTGAAATCAAATTTAATTCATTTGAAGGTCTCTATATCAAAATTTTTAGAAAATAATTAAATTCTTGACAGAATTTTATTATAATTTTTCTAAATAATTTAATTCATTCATGGAATTTTATTTTATTTATTTATTTATTTACAACATGAGATCCCGCGATCCAAAGTGGATCATAAATGGGTAACGAGAAGTCATACAATCTTATCGTGAAAACCATTTAAATATTGAAAATAATTTAATTCTCGCAAAGAATTTAATTATTTATGAAAATAATTCAATTCTTCTAAAGAATGTTTTAAAAATTTTTGAAAATAATTTTATTTTTGGCAAAAACTTTATTAAAATTTTCGAAAATATTTAAATAGTTTTGAAGAATTTATTTGAATTTTATAAAGAAAATTTCTTTCAAGTTTTTAAAATAATCGTGTTTATAATAATAATTTTATTACATTTTATTAAAATTTTTATAGAAAACAATTAAATTCTTCTTAGAATTCTAATAAAATTTCTTTAAATTATTGAAATTAATTCAAGGACTTTTATTAACATATAGAAAACAATTAAAATTAAAGTATTTATCAAAAAATTGGAATATAATGAAGTTTTTTAATAATTTTTACTAAAAATTTTCAAAGTATTTGAATTTTATGAAGAATTTCTTTAATGTTTTCAAAATAATCATGATTTTTTAATAATTGAAATTAATAGTTTTATTATTAAATTTTATTAAAATTATTAAGCAAATTAAAATTCTTTTAAATAATTTTATTAGAGGTTTTCGCAAATAATTAATTTTTTTTTGAAGAATTACTTTAAATTTCTTGTAAATAATGTAATTTTTTGTATGAAATTAAAATAGAAATTTACAAAAAGAATTTTATCAAAACTTTTGAGAATAATTGAATTTTTTAGAAAAATTTTCTTATTATTTTTAAAAATATATAATTGAATCCGTTCAAGAAATTGTATTAAAATTACATTGAAAATAATTTAATGTTTCGGAGTATTTTATCAAAATTTTAGAAAATAATTGAAAAGTTTCGAAAAATTTTTTAAAATAATTGAATCCTTTTGTGAAATTTTACTGAAATTGTTTTGATTACAAAGTAATTTTATTATTATTATAATTAAAATTTTTCGTGGCATTCATGAAATTCTTTGTAGTTTTGAAATTAGGCAAAATAGAAAACTTAAAGTTTTGGGCCCGTTTTTTTGGAAAAAGATGAAAATTGTGGGCATTTTCGAAAATATGAACTATTTTCTTTCTATTTTGCATCACTAAATAAATCCATTAATACATTTTTTGAAATTCAGCGTGGTCTTTTTAATAGTTTCTAGCTTTAAAGTTTGTTGTCAAAAAAAGCAAACTTTATATATACAGTTTTGGACAATTTTTTGAAAAAAGATGAAAATCGTGGGCGCGTTGATTCCGACGTATTATGATTGTTCTGCGAAGCGTCGGCTATGCTAAAACGTTTACAAAATTTACATTCTGGACATTCCTTTAGAGAATAAAATTCACTTCATTCATTAAAAAAAAAAAAAAAAAAAATTCTCTCCTTGTGATAATTTTTTGTTGATAAAACATTTTGAAATAGGAAGATTAGGATTTTTTTCTAAAAATTAAATAGAAATTTAGTATAAGGATAGAAATTTTTTTGGAGTAAATCTTGCTATACGTTTGATGTAAATTTCACTAAATTTTACAAAAATGTTTTTCGAACATGGAGCAAAATTGACTCCGAAAATAGTAAAAAACTGGCACCTATAGTTATCAACATTCACTTAATTTTTCAACATTTTATATTGGTTTTAAGAAAGAATATTTAACTTTAAAATTCAATTTTCAAAATTAAGTGCGGGTAACAATTTTACCTTCATGTAAAAATTAACGAAAAAAAACGCAGAAGTTCTGCGGAGAGTTTAGATTTTACTGCGTATATGAATATAGCAAGAAATTAATTTAATTTATTTTATTTCCGATATAAAGTCAGAAAATTACTTAATAATTTATTAGATTTAATAAATTAAAGTAATCGAATAATTAAATTAATTTAACTATTTTACTATTTAGGAATAATGTGCTGAATAAATCAAAGTTTTCCCACTGGCTCCATTTCCAGATTTCCACTTTATAGTAAAGAGTGATTTAATTATTTTTTTTCTTTTTCTAGATTTGATTAAACAAGAGATTGAAATTACAAACTTGTTTGAAGACAAAACAACTGTAATATATAAAATTTGACGATAAGATTCTCGCAGTGTGTTTAGCAATTAAGTTTCTCTTGAAGGAGAAACAGGAGAAACTTGACGTTTTAGGAAGAAGGGAGGGAGGGAGGGGAAAATTACGCGCGCGATAAGGCAAAGGAAAGAGGTAGGTGAGGATGAAGGTAATCCCTTGGGGGCTTGAGTCGGTCTGGTTAGGTTAAAGTTGGCGTGAGGTTTAAGGATTGGATGTGCGAGAGAAGGAGGTTGGCAGTTGTCTCCATGACGAAAGGGGAATGAAAGCTTTGGTTGGCTTAGACACGGCAGTGTTTTTCTTGCCGCGGATCATTAGGACGATTAGGGTTCCTATGAAAGGGAGAGAACAGATTAGCAACTAAATTCTCTTAAAACCATCTTTCGCTTTTGTTTTATATTTTCTTTTTCTTCTTCTTTCAAATTTTTATTTCTCTCGTGGGTAAAAACAATGAATTTGCGACATTTTATTTATTCCTTATTCATTATTGCGTAATTTTCTGTTGAAAAAGAGAAAAATTATTTTTTTACTGAAATTTTCCCCTCTTTGAAAGATGAAATAATGGGGAAAAAAATCTATTTTGATAAATTTTGCACTCACTGTCTACGATTTAAATCGAAACGCCGCTTTCACTTATAAAATTGGAAATTTTTGTCATCAGTGTAAAAATTACAAATTTTTTTTTTATAGAAATAGATTATTTTTGATGTTTTCGGTATTAATTCCTTTCAAAAGCGTCAATATTATTATCAATAATTAAAATTTTTATTAATATTATAATTCAATTTTTATAGAACTTTTAATAAGAATTCTATTGAAATTCAATTTTTGTAAGAATTGCTATTTTGTAACTTTACAAAAATTATTTTCTTAACTAGCCAAACTATCCGCGCGCAAGCGCGCGGGAATGTTGTATGGGGCTGCTTATTTTAAACAATTTAAAAAATTTTAAAGAAATAATTAGGTTATAACCTAACAAAGAGATTTAACTGACTAAAATTCAAATAATTTCACTCAATGGTCTCAATTTAAATAGAATTTACATTACTAGACTTAAACTATGGCTAGAACAATTACAATTAGTATCTGGGTCATCTTTTGCATTGCTTATTTTATAAAGCCATTTTAAATTAAATACTTTTTAAAGAAATAATAATTATTACACACTGAAAAAAGTTTTACTTGAAATAGCGATAAGTTTCTCTAGAATAACGAAAGTATTAATTGAAGCACTAAATAATTTCGCTACTAAGAGGAAATCTGTAGTTCATCCAGCTAAATATTTTTTGGCGTGCATAACGAAAAAAGAATTAAATTAACATCAGATTTTCTACATTCAAAAAAAACGAATTCAAATAGAAATTAATCATTTTACAACTTAACCAAATTCACCCCAGAAATCACTGAATTCGATAATTTAGAAGAAAGTCAGACAAAAGCAGGGTTCCTACAAAATCTGGAAATCATGGAAATCATGGAAATGGTATGGAATTTTTAAAAGGCTTCTGGAAATCAGGGAAATCATGGAAAAGGCCTGGAATTTTTAAAAGTTTCTAAATGTTTTCAGTTTTCCATTTTTTTTCTTGAATAAAAATTCAAATAATAATAAAGCTAAATGGTATAAAAGCGAAAAAAAATGTTGAATTTCAAGAAATTCAATTTTTCGGATTTTTGATAATTTTTTATTTTTTTCCAAAGAGTCGAGACAATTTAATAAGTAAAGTATTTTCCAAAAGCACAAAACAATGAAGCTAAATCCCATAAAAGAGAAGAAAAAATGTTGAATTTTAAGAAAATCGGATTTTTGAATTTTTTCGAATTTTTGATAATTTTAGATTTTTTACCAAAGAGTCGAGACAATTTAATAAGTAAAGTATTTTCCAAAAGCACAAAAATAATGAAGCTAAATCCCGTAAAAGAGAAGAAAAAATGTTGAATTTTAAGAAAATTGGATTTTTGAAATTTTTCGAATTTTTGATAATTTTAGATTTTTTAACAAAGAGTCGAGAGTATTAAATATGTAAAGTATTTTCCAAAAGCACAAAAATAATGAAGCTAAATCCCATAAAAGAGAAGAAAAAATGTTGAATTTTAAGAAAATGAAATTTTTGAATTTTTTCGAATTTTTGATAATTTTAGATTTTTTAACAAAGAGTCGAGAGTATTAAATATGTAAAGTATTTTCCAAAAGCACAAAAATAATGAAGCTAAATCCTATAAAAGAGAGGAAAAAATGTTGAATTTTAAGAAATTCGGATTTTTGAATTTTTGATAATTTTCGATAATTTTAGATTTTTTACCAAAGAGTCGAGACTATTAAATAAGTAAAGTATTTTCCAAAAGCACAAAAATAATGAAGCTAAATCCCATAAAAGAGAAGAAAAAATGTTGAATTTTAAGAAAATGAAATTTTTGAATTTTTTCGAATTTTTGATAATTTTAGATTTTTTACCAAAGAGTCGAGAGTATTAAATATGTAAAGTATTTTCCAAAAGCACAAAAATAATAAAGCTAAATCCCATAAAAGAGAAGAAAAAATGTTGAATTTTAAGAAAATGAAATTTTTGAATTTTTTCGAATTTTTGATAATTTTAGATTTTTTAACAAAGAGTCGAGAGTATTAAATATGTAAAGTATTTTCCAAAAGCACAAAAATAATGAAGCTAAATCCTATAAAAGAGAGGAAAAAATGTTGAATTTTAAGAAATTCGGATTTTTGAATTTTTGATAATTTTCGATAATTTTAGATTTTTTACCAAAGAGTCGAGACTATTAAATAAGTAAAGTATTTTCCAAAAGCACAAAAATAATGAAGCTAAATCCCATAAAAGAGAAGAAAAAATGTTGAATTTTAAGAAAATGAAATTTTTGAATTTTTTCGAATTTTTGATAATTTTAGATTTTTTACCAAAGAGTCGAGAGTATTAAATATGTAAAGTATTTTCCAAAAGCACAAAAATAATAAAGCTAAATCCCATAAAAGAGAAGAAAAAATGTTGAATTTTAAGAAAATGAAATTTTTGAATTTTTTCGAATTTTTGATAATTTTAGATTTTTTACCAAAGAGTCGAGAGTATTAAATAAGTAAAGTATTTTCCAAAAGCACAAAAATAATGAAGCTAAATCCTATAAAAGAGAGGAAAAAATGTTGAATTTTAAGAAATTCGGATTTTTGAATTTTTGATAATTTTCGATAATTTTAGATTTTTTACCAAAGAGTCGAGACTATTAAATAAGTAAAGTATTTTCCAAAAGCACAAAAATAATGAAGCTAAATCCCATAAAAGAGAAGAAAAAATGTTGAATTTTAAGAAAATGAAATTTTTGAATTTTTTCGAATTTTTGATAATTTTAGATTTTTTACCAAAGAGTCGAGAGTATTAAATATGTAAAGTATTTTCCAAAAGCACAAAAATAATAAAGCTAAATCCCATAAAAGAGAAGAAAAAATGTTGAATTTTAAGAAAATGAAATTTTTGAATTTTTTCGAATTTTTGATAATTTTAGATTTTTTACAAAAGAGTCGAGAGTATTAAATATGTAAAGTATTTTCCAAAAGCACAAAAATACTAAAGCTAAAGCCCATAAAAAAGGGGAAAAAATGTTAAATTTTAAGAAAAACGGATTTTTGAAATTTTTCGAATTTTTGATAATTTTAGATTTTTTACCAAAGAGTCGAGACTATTAAATATGTAAAGTATTTTCCAAAAGCACAAAAATAATGAAGCTAAATCCCATAAAAGAGAAGAAAAAATGTTGAATTTTAAGAAAATCAAATTTTTGAATTTTTTCGAATTTTTGATAATTTTAGATTTTTTACCAAAGAGTCGAGAGTATTAAATATGTAAAGTATTTTCCAAAAGCACAAAAATAATGAAGCTAAATCCCATAAAAGAGAAGAAAAAATGTTGAATTTTAAGAAAATGAAATTTTTGAATTTTTTCGAATTTTTGATAATTTTAGATTTTTTACCAAAGAGTCGATACTATTAAATATGTAAAGTATTTTCCAAAAGCACAAAAATAATGAAGCTAAATCCCATAAAAGAGAAGAAAAAATGTTGAATTTTAAGAAAATCGGATTTTTGAATTTTTGATAATTTTCGATAATTTTAGATTTTTTACCAAAGAGTCGAGACAATTTAATATGTAAAGTATTTTCCAAAAGCACAAAAATAATGAAGCTAAATCCCATAAAAAAGAAGAAAAAATGTTGAATTTTAAGAAAAACGGATTTTTGAAATTTTTCGAATTTTTGATAATTTTAGATTTTTTACCAAAGAGTCGAGACTATTAAATATGTAAAGTATTTTCCAAAAGCACAAAAATAATGAAGCTAAATCCCATAAAAGAGAAGAAAAAATGTTGAATTTTAAGAAAATCAAATTTTTGAATTTTTTCGAATTTTTGATAATTTTAGATTTTTTACCAAAGAGTCGAGACAATTTAATAAGTAAAATATTTTCCACATTAAAAAGTTTGACATTAAAAAATATATAAAAAATGCCAATACTTAACCCACAAAATTAAATTTTCAAAACAAACAAATGAATGCAGATAATTTGCTAACGGAAAGGAAACTTACGATTATTATAATGTATATATGTATATTTCTATTTTCTATCAAAACTTATAAAAAACAAAAGAATAACTATAACTAACTTCAAGTGTGGACAGAGATCCGGAAATCTGGAATCACGACGATTATTATTTTCTTAATTTTTATTTTGCAAATTATAAGAATATTAATAAGAATCATAAGAATGCAATTTTTTGAATAAATATAATTTTTCACAGAAAATCAATTATTTTTAAAAATTTGATAAAATTCTTCGCAAAATTTAAATTATTTTCAAAAATTTTAATTAAATTCTTTACGAGAATTAAAATACATTCAATGATTATTTAATCAATAAATTAAATTCTTAGCAAGATTTCAATTATTTTCATAATTTACAAAATTTTTCTCAGAAATTTAATTATTTTAAAGAATTTGTATAAAATTCTTCGCGGAAATTCAATTACTTTAGCAAATTTTGATAAGGAATTGAATTATTTTCGTAAATAATCAAATGTATCGCAAGAATTAAATTATTTCTATGAATAACAAAATTCTTCGCAAGAACTCAATTATTTTCATTAATAATAAAATTCTTTTGCAGAAATTCAAGTATTTTTAAGATTCAATTTTAAGATAAATGCCTTGAAAGAATTCAATTATTGTCTAAAATTTGAATAAATTCTTTCCGAAGCAATTCAATTATTTTTATAAATAAAATCCTGAAAAATTCAATTATTTTCAATAGAATTTTATTAAAATTCAATAATCAAATTTTTAATTGTAATTATTAAGAGACGCAATTTTTTTTTAAAAGATAAAAGAAATTTTTTGTTGAATTCAATGATTTTTATAATTTTCAATTAAAATAATTCAAAAATCAACATTATTTACAAAAACTCTAATAAAATTGTTCAAAAGAATTGAATTTTCTATCAATATTTTTAATAAAATTTAATAATAAAATTAATAATTACAATTATTAACAAAATTGATTTAAATTCTTAAAGAAACACCATTATTTTTGAAAAAATTCAAAGAAATTCTTTAAAATAGTTTAATTATGATTTAAAAAAATTTTTTAATTTTTAATTGTATTATCAAGTGTAATTTTAGGGCAAATTTTTTTTTAGTATTTTAGGGCGAAACTATTTTAGGAAATTTTTGTTACATTTAAAAGAAAGTAATTTTATGACTGTAATAATAATTTGTCACTTTTCTTTTGCGTTTCAGCAGACAGGCTTTTGGACATTCTATGCGATGTATGTGGTGACCGTAGCTCAGGGAAACACTACGGTATCTACAGCTGCGACGGTAACGTCATCCGCTAGTCCGTACCAAAGAGATCACTTATTCTATAATGCATATCAATATTTTTTTTACATAAGAAAAAAATATAGTCAAATTTGCATGAAACTAATGATTTATTCTTCAGAGTATGTGACACTTTTTCTCATTTATTTTTTTTTTTGTATTAATATTTATTTACTATTTTTTATTTATTTATTCGTATAATACTTACTTAAAATATTATTCTTTTTGGGATTATTTTTTATACGCCGTTTCTTAAAAATATTTAAAATTTAATTTTTTATAAATACGACGATTATTATAATTCTTGTGATTATTTTTCTTATTTTTTTTTTAAACCTATTGTTTCTAATATTTGCTTTTTGTTAATTGTTTTTGCTTCCTTTTGTTTTTTACCGCTTTCATTGTTTTTAATTTATTTAAATATATTTTCTATTGTTTTGTTAATTCTTCTTATTCATGATCCGGCGGCTCTATTATTCTTCTTATTTATTTACTTTTATTGAAATTAATTTTTAATAGTTAAATTTAATACAAATTTCAGTAAAAACAATTTTTTTTAAATTTAGATTTCTTGTTTTTTACAAAAAAAAAAAAAATGTGTCACGTACTCTAATAATATTTCGAGACATCAGTCGTGTCTTTTACACAAAGTTTCCGCGATGTCTGACCATAATATGTCTGTTCTACTGTCACTGACTATAGCGTACTTTCAAATTTTATAATTTACTTACGAAATTTCTGCCAAAAGAGCAGATTCTTGAATTTTTTTTATTTTTCTATAAAGAATTCGCATTATTTTAATTAACATTTTGAAAATTAACGACAAACAAAAATTATGGTTAATACAAAAAAAAAAAATTACTGATTTCTTCTTGACTACAAATAACAAAGATATTCAATATATTACTATTTTTCTATTATTATGTACTCCATTATTTTAAAAAAATGTAAAGAAATTTTTCAAAACAGTTCAATTATTTTGAATACAATTTTAATAAATTTCTTCGCAAGAATTATTTTCAATTAAAAATAAAATTTCTCGAAAGTATTTGATTGTATTTTTTTAAACTTTTGATAAAATACTGGGAAAGAATTGAATTATTATTATTATTATTATTAGTTGCTATTGTTTGCTATTTATGTGAGAATTACAATTTTAATGTTTTTGAATATGCAGGTTGTTCGGGATTTTTTAAAAGGAGCATTCACAGTAATCGAGAGTATACCTGCAAGGCACAAGGATCTTTGAAAGGACGATGTCCCATTGACAAAACTCACAGGAATCAGTGTCGAGCTTGCCGTCTGAAGAAGTGTTTTGAAGCGCGCATGAATAAGGACGGTGAGTACCTTTGATCTATTCATTTCTAAATTTATTAATAATTTTTATTAAAATCCTCCATTTATTTAATATTTTTCATCTATAGTTGCAAAAAAAAATCGATCTCTTTCACAAAATTTTGTAACATTTGTTAATTTTGTACACAGTACAAGTTCGATTTCTTTCGCCGAATATGGAAAAAAAAGAATTTTTCCATAAGAAGTAAAATTTTTATTTACAAAACTTTTTCTACGCTTTTGGAAGATCATTTATGATCTCAGGATAATTTTTGTACTTTCTCCTAATTTTATTATATAATTTACTGAATAATTATAGTGAAAATTTATCGAATATTTTTGTAAAATATTCTTTTATAGTTAATAATCGAATATTTTTGTTGAAAAATTCTTTCGGTAAAAAATCGAATATTTTTGTAAAAAAATTCTCTCGGTAAATAATCGAATATTTTTCTTAAAAAATTCTTTCGGTAAATAATCGAATATTTTACTTAAAAAAAATCTTTCGGTAAAAAATCGAATATTTTTGTAAAAAAAATTCTTGCAGTAGATAAATAATAGAAAACCATAGAATTAAATTTTTTTAATTCGAATAAATCCAAAAGTATAAAAAAAGTTTTGTAAAATTTGATAAATTCTTTTCGTTCACAATAATCGAATATTCCTCAAGTTTTTTTTTTTGGAAACTTAGTGAAAATTTTTCCCAAGTTTAAAATCTTCCATCGAATAAAAAATAATAAATAAAATAATCTTCAATTATTATTCTACTGGAATATTTTAATATTTTTTTTCGAAGGAAATTGTTTGAAAAACATTTTTTTGCTACTGAAATTTTAACGTCAAGAAAAGCTTCCCCTAAGATTAAATTAAATATTTCTTCGTTTAAGAAATATTTAATTGTAAAGAAAAATGAAGAAAAAAAAATTATAAAAGAAAATATTCGAAAAGAGATTTTTTTCGATTTTTGAAAGATGATGAAAAAAAAGAAGAACAACTATTTTTTTTAATATCTTCCAATCATCTAAATCGAAAATAATTACTTTATAAATATTATAATGAAAGGAAAAATTAGTTCAAATGAAAAAATTTCATTGCAAGAAAAAAAGTAAAAAAAAACAATTTCATTAACCTTTTATAGCGAAAGATCTCGTGTACTGTGTGCGCGTATATACAAAAATTAATTCAATCAGATAATTTGTAAGATAAAAAAGAAATCCAATGAAATATATACTTTACAGTTCTATTGATTTCTATAGTTTACGCTCGGCTTACGATTTGAAGGGATTAGATTTAAACCCTTCGGGTACAAAGACTGATAAGATCAATATCGAAGATTCAATGTAAAGTTTGCAGGGCGTGATGAAATTTAATATTACCGTTCTTTGAATATTATATCACTTAGTTCTTTTTTTTTTTATCTTTTTCACTTTATTTTCATAACAAACTATTTTTCGACAAAAATTATAAATTTCCTAAATTTTATTAATTTTATAAATTCAATTAAACTAAATTATTTACGACACTTAAATGACAATTTTTAACTTTTTCAGTAAACATGGTAATAAATTTATTAATTTACTTATTGTTTCCCCATGGAGAAATGATTTATCTCTGGATCGAGTGAAATTAATTACTTTTCCAATTTAGTGCAATATATAATTATTTTAAATTCCATTTAAAAGTATGTTTATTTGTTATTTTCTAGATTGAAAGGTATAAATTGGTTAATTATTTTACTCAGCATGTGTATATTTGTGTGTATACAGTCTTGTGTTAAAATGAACTTGTCAATCGAAAAAGGGAGGAGTCACGCTACGTTTGATTTTTTTGTATTGACGCACCGCATACGAAATCCATAAAATGCCATGTCACGTTCAATCGCCAATATTTTTCCGATTAATGGATTTTGAATGATTCGTGACGAGCAATTCACGCAAAGTTTTGACAGGATTATATCTTCATCTTCGAATGTGAAATATATTTATATTTATATATTTGTGGAAAATCAAGTGGAGGGTACGGAAAGTGATTATCTTGTTACAAAGAAAAGGTTCTTGAAAGTTTCATCGACTAATACGATTGTGCAAATATTTGGGAAAATTCGAGGTGTTTTCAATTCAGAATAGCTGTGAGATGACAGTTTTCACGTAAAGTATGCAGACTTTTTTTTAACGTTCGTTAATAATAATAAGGTAAATAATCTTCATAATCAAGAAATGGAAAATTTGGATTTGTTTGAATCATGTAGGGATTCGAATGATTGAGAGAAATTAGTGAGAAATTAGTTTCTATTAGCAATATAGAATTTCCAGTTATTATAGCGAGGAATTATTGGAATTAATCGGTTAATTTTGGTAAATTATTAACCAGATTATAATTAAGGGGAGAATTTTGTTACATTCCCAATTATATTATGAAGATTTACTTGGAAAATATTGACAAAAATTATTTTTATACTATAATTTTTAGCAGTTGATTCAATGCTCATTACATTGAATTTATTGAATTAAATTGAATTCAGTAAAATATTTTTTGACATTTTTTTTTTAATTTTAATAACATTCTTCATAAGAATTCAATTATTTTTAATACAATTTTAAGTAAATTCGACAAATGAATTTAAATATGAATTTTCATAAATTTCACTTAAAATATTCACAAGAATTAAATTATTTTAATAAATAATAAAATTCTTTCCTGAAATTCAATTATTTTCAAAAATTTAAATAAAATACGTCCCAAAAGTTCAATTGCTTTAATCAATAATTATTATCAGAAATTTATTAAAATTCGTAGCAAGAATTCAATTATTTGAATAAATAATAAAATTCTTCACAAGAATTCAAATATTTGAATAAATAATATAATTCTTTGCAGAAATTCAATTATTTTTCTAAATAATTATAAAACTCTTTACCAAAATTCAATTATTTTTAGAAATTTAATAAAATTCTTCGTAAGAATTCAATTGCTTAAATAAATAGTAATATTCTTCACAAGAATTCAATTATTTAAATAAATAATATAATTCTTCGCAGAAATTCAATTATTTTTTAAAATAATAATAAAACTCTCTTTGCCGAAATTCAATTATTTTCAAAATTTTAAATAAAATTCGTCCCAAAAATTCTATTATCTAAATAAATAATAGAATTCTTAGCAGAAATTCAATTATTTAAATAAATAATAATAAATTTCTTTACCGAAATTCAATTATTTTCAAAATTTTAAATAAAATTCGTCGCAAGAATTCAATTATTTTTTTAAATTTGAAAAGTATTCTTGTCATAAATTTTATTTTATTTATAAAAAATAAAATGTTTTCTGATACAAATTTATTTATTTTAATATAAATAAGAAAATCCTTTTAACATTTTCGATTATTTTCTTAGATTTTAATATGATTTTTGTCAAGAATTCAATAATATTCCTAATAATAAAATTTTTGACGAAAAATCAATTATTTTAATAGATAATAAAATTTTAAAAACAAATTCAATTATTTTCAAAAATTTTTAATAGATTTCTTGACACGAATTCAATTTTATTTATAAATAATACAAATCTGGAGAAGAATTTCATTATTTTAATAAATAAGAAAATTCTTCGTATACAGATTCAATTATTTTTGAAAGTAATATAAATTCATGCAAGAATTCAATTATTTTAAAATTATTTTAAAACATTTTACATTTTACATTTCTTTTATAATAATTGAATTATTTTTAAAAAATTAAAGAAATGCTTTGAAAGAATGCAATTATTATTATTTTCAAAAATTTTTAATAAAAGTCTTGTCAAGTATTTAATTATTCTTCTAAATAATAAAACTTTTTGCAAGAATTCAATTTTTTTTAAATTTTAATAAAATTTTTATCCAAGAATTTAATTATTTTCAAAAAGTTGAATAAATTTATTCACAAGAAATTTCTTCGTATACAAATTCAATTATTTTTAGCACAATTTTAATAAAATTTCTCGAAAGACTTAAAATATTTCGTAAAAATTTTTTAATGTAATTTTTCTGAGGAATTCAATGGATATAAAATAAAAGGGGGACGGAGAAATATTTTAACCCTTTTTGAATTTTTATTTCGTTGAAAAATTGGTAGATTTCGAAATATATGCATAATTTTGTAGAAAATATTTTTTTTGAACCCTAAAAAAATTGCTAAATGAAAAAATCCATTTTTATATTTTTTCAAGCATTTAAAAAAAAACTATTTTTAGGCTGAAATTTTAAAAATTTTATCTTAAAAAAATATGGTCTGAAATCAGAAAGCAAAAAGATATAAATAAATTTTCAAATAAATAAATTTTCAAATAAAAAAATTGTATTTTTTAGCATTTTTAGCCTAAAAATGTTTTTTTTTCAAAAAAGGGCTTCAAAAATTATAAAAATCAATTTTTTGTTTGGCAATTTCTTATAGTGGATTCAGAAACATATATTTTCTACAAAATTACCCATATAGATTTCAAAATCTATTTGGGTAATTTTTTAAGAAAATTAAAAATTCAAAAAGGATCAAAAGAACATTTTTTGACGGATTTTATTTTATGACCATTGAATTCCTCGCGAAAAATTACCTTAGAGATAATTTTATGGAATATTTAAATTATTTTCTTGATATAGTTTGAACCTGTCCTTTAATATAGAAGATTAGTCAAAATTGGTTTAGTCAAAAAAGGCTATACAAAAAGTTATACAATTTTTTTATTCTATTCAATTTTTTGTTCGTTTGTTATAAAAAGTTTGAAGAAACGAAAAAATGTAAGGTAATTTTGAAGGAAATGAAAATTAATTATATATTTAAGGTAATACAAAAAGAAATAAGAGGTTTATTTTTTATTTTTAGATTTGACATATAACGATGATAAGAGAAATGTGAGAGAGTGAGGAAGGGAGGAAAAACGAAAGGGCAAGCCAGGTAGACAGACACAGCACAGCATCCGTGTTCCATGAGCATCAACGAAACGAAACGCGAAAAGTGAGGGAGGAGGTTA